ATGTTTGTTTATGTTCGTTCGTGATCGTCGTGGCGTCCACACTATGCTGTTGCCGTTCGTTCTGGTACGTTCGTTTATGTTCGTTCGTGTTCGTTCGTTAGGTGTGGACGCACCTTTATACTAATCGCAAAAAAATCGAAAATGAAATTTTTTATATATCTTTACGTTTCAAAGGTTTCTGAATATTTTGGCATACCTTAGAAAAAATGGATGTATGTGTGTGTGTATGTGTGCATGTGTGTGTGCGGATACAAATTTGCGGTTATAGACTCTCAATAAAAATAATTTTAAAAAATGTCATTTGGCGGTCAAAAAAGTATGTATGTACATCAAATTATCAGATATTTTATAGAGATTTTAATAAGGTGTACACATTTTCTTCTTCTTTCATTGAATGACTATGAAATGTAAGCTAATAATTTATTTTGCATTGCGATATTCTTGTTATTCCAGCAAAAGGTTAAAACAAAAAATATTAATTGGGTCATATTATCTTGAAATTTGTGAATGCTACGTTTTTTCTTAAGATACTTTAATATTCAAGAGTGTGAAATCTAATTATCTTACTAAAATCTTATCAATATTACCAGTTTATCCAAAAGTAAGTATGTAATGAATCTTATATTTAATCTGTGTAATTCATTTAAATTAGCAAAAATTTCAATAATTATAAATTTTCTCTTATTTCTCTCAACAAATAAATGCCCTGAACAGGTAGAGGTATACACAAAGCCATTGCCATGGACAGTATAGCCAACGGGTTAGACAAAGACGGAGCTAATTCGTTCCTCGCGAGAGCGACAAGGACACCCATATGCATCCAGGAAGGATTGAGTATAACGTAGAATTGTGGGTTCAGTGACCGTCGCCGAGTTAGGAAGTGACTTGGATCAGGGGTTCCAATAAGAGAAAGAGGGGAACCCGAAAGATCATCGTTCTCTCGAAAAACAGATGATTCTCAAATATTCTTACATCATAATATCAGAGATTCTGAAATTCTTCGATTCGTAAAACACTTTCCAATATAGTCAAAACCTTCTACATTCCTGATGAGAAACTAAGGAATACGAATGCTAGATCATCCTTAGGATTTGATTTGAATATCCAGTTTATTAGATTAGACAAGTTGACATTACAAAAATACTATCTATAACTCTCAATAGCTGTCAGTTTTGACTTGACAAGTTTTAATTTTAAGATAAAAACAATTGCATTCTAGTACTCATATCATATTACTAGAAAGTGACTTGGATCAGGAAGTAGGAAGTTACTAGGAAGTGACTTGGATCAAGGATTCCAATAAGAGAAATAAGATTCTCAAATATTCTTACATCATAATATCAGAGATTCTGAAACTCTTTCATTCATAAAACGCTTCCCAATGTAGTTGCTGTCAAAACCTTCAACTTCTTTGATGAGAAACTTACGAATACGAATGCTAGATCATCTTAAGATTTGATTTGAATATCTAGATTTAGACAAGTTGACGTTGAAAATACTATCTATAACTCTCAACTGCAGTCAGTTTTGACTTGACAAGTTTTAATTTTAAGGAAAAAACAAGCGCATTCTAGTACTATTATCTTATTACTAGGAAGTGATTTGTATCAGGGAGTAGAAAGTTACTAAGAAATGACTTGCATCAAGGGTTCCAATAAGATAAAGAAAGGAACCCGAAAGATCATCGTTCTTTCGAAAAATAGATGATTTCCAAATGTTCCTATATTATAATACCAGAGATTTTGAAACTCTTTATTTCATAAACTGCTTTCCAATGTAGTCGTTGGCAAAACCTTCCACTTTCTTGATGAGAAACTTACGAACACGAATGCTAAATCAAATCTTAATTGCAGCCAGTTCATTTTTGAAAATTTTCAATTTTAAGGCAAAAACAAGCGCTTTTTACAACTCTTATTTTACCACTTCCACATCCAATAGGATACCAACAAATATTTTTTAGAAATTGAAACTTTCTTATAACATATATTGTAAAAAAATTGTTTAATATTTACGCAATTCAGGTAAGACAAAAAACGTTATTTTAAGAATTTTCGAAATTAAGCCAGCTCATTTATTAATAAGAAACAGGAAGAGAAAAATAAAAATTCTTGAATATTTTTAAGTATTTTAAAATAAAATATATTACAAATGAGTTAATTTTAAAAATTATTAAAAAAAATAATATTTCATCTATAAGAGCCCTGTGTAAACTAAAACTCTATTACACATAGGGTTTATATAGAAAAAAATATACTTTTTAAATATTTAGTAATTTCAACTCATGTTTAATCTAATCTGTCTTTAATAGTTGAAAATATTTAGATAACAAATTTGCAAATCCTGAATTTTAAATGTTTTCAAACCATTTTAGTAAATTATTAGTTATACTTTTATCAGCTGTTTTAAAGTTTAATTCTACATGGAGGGTTTTAAGAAACATCATTACTAGGCTTTAGACCACTTCTAAACTTTCCAAATTAATTTTCATACCACAAATAATTAACGAATTTGCTAAATCAGAATATACAACAAATAAAATTAAGTAAAGTTCACTTACCTGTAGAATTATAATTTTCCTTTGGACTATCATTATCCTGATCGTCATCTAAATCCAAAATATCATTTGGAGTAAGAGGTGTGATTGGGTTCACTTGATCAAAGTCATTTTCCTCATTTTCTGAGTCATTGTCGGGACTGAAAAATAATATTCAGAATTAGAATAATGATAAATATTAGAAACAATTAACGTATTATTACCGGTTTTCAAAATAATGATATTTTATATTATACTCTGATATCACAGTTATAATAAGATTATTATAACATACATATATAATATAGAATCATTGTTAAAACAAAATACATTTTGTGCGTAATACTGGAAGGTAATATTATGCTAACTTCAAGTTAAGTTCAATTTTAAACATAAATTTACATAAGTCGATAATGACGAACGCATATAATTATAAATATAACTCTAATCAGACTTTTTAATAACAAATTGCAAATTTATTAGATTACAAGAAAAACAAAAACTGCAGAATTTTAAATGAGATATCAATAAAAGTCAAGCAAAGCAAAACAATTGTCCATCAAGGTAAAGTGACCCTGAAATTCGTATTGATTCTCTTCGCCGCTTATATTTAATATGTAACTGTCAAATTACCTTCAATTGTAAAAATTGAGTTGAAAAATATAATATTAATAACAATAAGCCCCACAAATAGATCAGTAATTTTTGTTGTAAACTTAAATATTTTTTACTGACTTTAAAAAAAAAATAGCAAATGTTTACAAAAAAGGGCAGTTTTGCTACAACTTAATAATAATAATTAAGTAAAGATGAACGAAATGCAATTAAAAATCTAATAAATATTATTACCTCACGATAGTTTTTTCGTCCATGACACCAAGTTAATTCAAAACCATCTATTTATCAGCTGTTAAATCACTTTCAAATGTCATGCACAACAACAAACTTCTCGTTTTATGTAAATAGACACTGTTTAACTTTGAATTAGCCATTTTAAGAATTATTTTAAGTTGTTATTAATAATAAATTCATATATTTTTAGTTATGTGTTATATTTTAATATATTTTAGTAGTTTAGGGGTTTAGTGTGTCAAACTTCTGACATTGATGTATGCGAGTCCTGCGCAGATAAAGGAAGCAGGAACCGCCATTGACTATGTAATACTAATGGATGCTAATTATGTAAACTGAAAAGAACAGTAGTTATCATAACATTATGTTTATTTAACTATGGATCTAATTATATTTTTGGCTAATAAATTGAAAAAGTTGCATATTCAAGATTAGGCCTATAATTACATTCTATTTTCATAAAAATTAACTACAATAAATTCAAATGTTTATCAAAAATATAAAACAAAACGAAAACATTTTTCTAATGATTTTACGTTTTATTCAAGAATTTATTCATATTAAAATATATGAATTCATACATTTTAGTAGAAATAAATCTTATTATCATATTAATCAAATCTTTTATTCAAATCAAATAAGTTTTCTAAAACATGAAATAAAACAACAATAAATTGTTAATTATATGTTTAATTCAAATCTAATAATTAATGTAATATATGTTTCTTGCATGCATTATGCATACTATTATTATGACTTTTTATTTAAGCACACTGTAAATAATATAAATAATATCTTAGCATGCTGCTTCATATAATAATATATGTATAATGTTGTCAATGTATTTGATTTATCAAAAATAGCACAAATTGGTAAATCAGTAAGTTTCTACAAAATTAAGATATTATAATTATATAACATATTACATAAGAATATACAATTCTAAATTTAGGAATATAAATAGGACTCTTTATATTTTTGTACAGGCACACAATTATTTCACAGGCACATAAAAAGGAAGAATATATGTTTTTGTTATTTACTGCTGCAAATATTATAATTTTATATTCAAAGTCAAATCTTACATAGTATATGCAAATTCTAATCTGAAATAGTCTTTGTGATAAAATATGTTTCAAATCACATAATTATAACAAGAAGTAAATATTATTAATTGTTTGTACTGTTTCAATATTTTCTGCAATTTGAAATAGAAAACACTTTGAATATTTTAATATTAATCATTTAAAGCAATACAACTGTAGATTACCTACAATTAAACTTAAAAATAATTTTACTTACACTTATTCTAATAAGCAACATTTAATGTTACATAAAATACCACATGCACATAAATTTAGATATATTAAATATTTTAAGTATTAAGGCAATTCTAAGGCGATGTTCGTTACTTTAAAACAATATAATTTACAATGTTAAAATATAACATTATATATATATATATATATATATATATATATATATATAATGTAAAAAGGTAACTTTGAATTGGTATAAAATTAATAAATATATTTTAATTTATTTATAATGCAATACTGCTGTCAAAGCTGTTAAAAGATTTAAAGCATATAGCTGCTTTTTAACATAGAAATTCTTATAGAATATATATATAATCTGGGATCTAATATCAGGTAAAGATTGGGATTCATTAAGGCAGTGTTTACAATAAATAATAAATTTTTGATAGCAGCTTTTTTGACAAGACCTTTGGAATAGTTATTTATCTTTTCATTTTATCAAGAATTGGAACCACCATATCAAATTTAGGACGTTTTCCAGGATCCTCATTCATGCAAATTTTGATAAGTTTGGCAAGATAAGAAGATGTACCAGGCGGTATTTCAAGACGTAATCCTTCTGTAGCAATTCTTAAACCTACAAAAAAATGAGATTGCAGTCACAATCTTTGTCATAATAACTATGGCAATAACAATGTTTGGCATGATAATATAAAGTAGATATAATATCAAATTACCACACTCCATAGGAGATAAATCAGCAAATGGAACTTCTCTGGTTGCTAATTCCCAAAGACAAACTGCAAAACTCCACATATCGCAAGCCTCTGCATTTCTAACTAATCTATTTTTTTGCAAAGCTTCAGGAGACATCCAAGCTGGTCGATATATACGACCACGTTCTTGAAATGAAAATTTTGCATCGGACATATTCAATCGTGCTGTCAAATCTTCATCAATCTAAATAAAAAACAAGAAATATGATATATAATCAAACTATATACGATTCAAACTAAATTAATATTTTAAAATTTTATTTTATCGTCATTTATCAAAAATGCCCTATTTAAAATTAATAATTTATTACATTGAATCATGATAATCTTAATTAGTAATAACAAAAATTAAACTCACCATTACGTGATGGCTATTCAAATGATAATCTGGAATGATTCTTTCCAAAGAATGTAAGAAAGCCATTCCTCTTGCAATATCAAGAGCAAATCTGATAGCCTGTGATGAGTCTACAACAAGACCGGCTGCACCATGTAAAATTGCTGATAAAGAGCCCCGGGTCATATATTGGCTTATAGTTATAAGACGATGATTATCCACACAACCACCAATTAATGGCAAAATGTTTGGATGAGAAAAAATACGTAGTTTTGGAAATTCTTCCTGCAATTTAATTTATTGCATGATTTATGTATTTATTTTACTATATTTATATACATACATATCTACAAAATCTCCAACTTACCTGAAAATCCCTAAGTGCTCTATTAGTGACTTCCCTAACATTAATTTGCTTGGCAACAATATCATTTTTTTGCCAACGGCCTCTCCAACTAATACCAGAAGGTGTATCTGCAATTTTTGTATGTAAAGTAAGTTCACTGAAATTAATTCCTCTGTGTCGTGACAAAGTAGCATCTCTCGATCTAGTTTTTAATCCTAACCAACTTTGATCTTTAAATGTGATTTTCTTTAATTCTTGGCCATTTTCAATGGCCATGTCGTGAAGCCTGAAACAGACAAACTATACAATTTCTCTTCATTGAAGAAAAGTGTAAAAAAGAGAAAGAAAGGGAAATGAGATTAAAAAAAAATTAATCAAAATTACCTTTTAGCAAAACTACCCTTTGTTTTATCCAATGGGGTGTCACCATCCTTATTTGCTAATGAAACAAGAGCTCCAGCTCTAACAAGTTCTTCTGCAATAGCTTCATAGCCCCAAAAACAAGCATAGTGCAGAGCAGTATTGCCATGTTCATTTGTAAAGTTAACATCAGCTCGCTCTCGGAGTAACTTTAAAAATAAAACAAATTATATTTTTTCTATAGTTTTGTTTCTAATGCATTTAATAATGTAGAAGAATTACAATATATTATTTATCCAATATAAATTATTTGCAAATCATTCTTACTGTTGTTACAATATCATGATGGCCATGAGCTGCTGCCAAATGTAGTGGAATATCATCTCCACGATTAGTAGCATTTATTCTGGCACCTCTCTGAACCAGCATATCAACCAAATTTTTATGGCCTCTTTTGCTAGCCCAGTGCAAAGGGCTAAAGCCATGATCATCTCTTTAAATGTAATCATGCAATTAATATATAATTCTCAAAATTCCAAAAATATGTACATGTTAGATAATAAAAATTTATAATTATAATAAATCATTTTATATTTACTATATCATTTTGATATTGCCAAGCTATATTTAGCTGTTGAATAATTACATATGATTCATTCATCATAAGAATTTAATTAGTGCTATATTTACATAAATGAAAAAGAGGTTATATTTTGAAAGTAAACATTAAAATGGATTGAGTAAAATGATGGCATAAATGATAAGTATGAAAAAACTAACTAAATACTCGTCAACAAAATATGTAAACAAAATATTACATTTTCTAGGTGCATTTGTCCAGTCAAAATAAACGAAGGGCAAATGACGTCATGTCCATTAACTCCTACGACAATGACCAAATTAGGACATTGCATTACGAAATGGGTGTGCCGTTTATATATAAATTTTAAAACAAAAATAAAGTGATAAATTAATGAATGAGTTTTAATTAGCGCAATCATTATTTATCCGTACCCTTGATTCATGTCATGCTCAGTATCATCCAACCAAAGTCGTACTTGAATGGCATTTCCTTCACGACACCACTGAAATATATCTTCCATTTTATTTTAATTACAACGTTATTAATATATAAATAAATATATATTGGTTATGCAATAACACAACAAAGAATTATGTACAATTTTATTTAAATAAATAACATATTGATAAACAACAATTTGACAGTTCTTTATGCAAAAAAAATCTTGAAATATCTTCACAATGAGATGAAGTAAGCAACATGTGCTCTGCTCAATCTGCCAGATTGCATAATATTTATTTATTTTTATTTAATTTACTTTAAGACTTAAATATTTAATATTAAAGAGATTTAAATATTTATTAATTTAACACATATTGAATAATTTTATATATTTAATTTAAGTATATTTAAAATATATAATATTTGGATTCACATTCAAACGATCTTCTTTTTATAAGGTTGGCAAAGAAAATGCATGCATTTGACAGCCGAAATTGGCCGAAATGTTGCTGGTAGCTATCAAAATTGCATAATTTGAATCTGGAATGAAAAACTAAAATAATGTTTATATAATAATAAATGTTTATACGATTAAAAAAATGCCCAGTACTTTTAGAAAGCGTTATGATACAATCAGTATGTTATATATATTTTTCAATAAATTTGTTGGTTATAAATGTCGATCATGTTTGCTTATAATTATTAATTAATTAACAAGAATTAGTTTGTTAATCAATAAAAATGGATTTTTTATTGGGTGCTGCAGCTTCGATGGGTGCTGCTTTATTTAGTAATCCCTTTGAAGTATGAAATCATTTTTGGAAATAGTTTTTCTACAAATATATGATTTATTAAAAAAGAAAATATTTACAGGTTGTTAAAACACGCATGCAATTACAAGGGGAATTGCAAACAAGAGGCACACATGCTATATATTATAAAAATGTTTTTCATGCATTTTATACTATAGGAAAACATGATGGCTTATTAGCATTACAGAGTGGGTTAACGCCTTCTTTATGTTTTCAATTTTTTATAAATGGGATCAGGTAAACATTGAAGAATATATATATAACAACTATTAGCATGTTTTTAGTTATTAATATAACTATCCAGATTCCTTTTAAGTGACCCATAAAATAAAACACTCATGCGATTTTATATTCATTAAATTTGTAAACTGTTAAGTTATAATTAATGGAATCATGCATAATTAAAGATTGGGTGTTTTCCAAACTTGTGAAGATATAGGCTTAGTTTTAAATTCATCAGGAAAATATTCACATTGGAGAGCTGTTTTAGCAGGTGCCGTTGGAGGAGGAATTGGTTCGGCAATTGCTAGTCCTTTTAGTCTGGTAATAAATTTTTTCCAAATTATTTTAGGCTATAACTGATAAGATTCATTACATTAGATTAGAACACAATTCCAATCAATGGCAGTAAAAGAAATTGCAGTAGGATATCAGCATCAACATAAAAACTTATTTAGTACAATTAAGTATATATACACAAATGAAGGAATCAGAGGTAATTATATTCTGTATAATACATATGAACTCAAAATTATAATTAAGTATAATATTTTAAAGGGCTATTTAGAGGGCTTCCAATACAAGTACCAAGAGCTGCTATCGGGTCAGGTGTGCAGCTTATGACCTTTAGTAGGTGTAGAAATTACTTCATAGAAAATCAGGTACAAGTATAATAAAAAATTATTAATCATCTGTATATGAATTCTAACATCATAATTCATATAATAGGTATTCCCTGGAATAACTTTAAATACTTTAGTAGCAAGTTTTATTGGTGGTACTGCCACTACATTAACTACATCACCCATTGATGTCATGTCTACAAGAATTTATAATCAAGGTAAAATAAATTTGGATGTTTCATAAATTATTCCCAGATTATAATGTTTGAATTTACAATAAAGGTGTTGATAAACACGGAAAAGGTCTCATGTACAATGGTATATTTGATTGTTTTAATAAAACTATGAGGAAAGAAGGCCTACATGGTTTCTACAAAGGATTTTGGCCATCATATTTTCGAATGATTCCTCATACAGTTTTAACACTTTTGTTTTGGGATGAATTAAAATTGCTATATAAGAATAAATCGACTGAGCATATATAAAACACGTTGTGTAGTTAAGATAGGTTGCATTATTTATTTTGTTATGTTAATATTGCAAAAAAGCAATAATTGTTATATTTTGTTACAAAATAGAGTTCTTTATTCATCAAATTAATTGTTTTATTTCAATGAATTAGAATAATATGTGTTTACTTTATGTGAGTATTGCATATTTTGTTGGTAAGATTACTTCAAGAACATTACTTCGTACAATAGTAAAAAGAGTGCAAAGTTCTTAATACATAACTTTGATAATTAAGATTATGACTGTTTTCAAATTGTTTTGCGATTTCGATCTGGAAATTGAATTAACCCAAGTTGTTGTTCTATTTCAATTAATTCATTATACAAATCAAATTTGGACATTTCAACTACTCTTGCACATTCTTCTAATAACCAAGAAAATGTTGATGAAAACTTGGTTTCCATTGACTCAAATAAAATATTAGTAACAGGTACGGAATTACTAAAATGATTAACCCAATAATGTGACACTGGCCTAGGAATGTTGATTACATGGTCACCACAATTTTTTTCTGGAGAAGAATTGTGTATGATATCTGGCAATATTTTCTGCCCAAGCCTCAAAGTTTGCTCATCAAGCAAAGGATTATATACTTTTGGTGACATAAACCATTTCTTTCGTCCCTCACAAACACCAGATGTAATTTTTTTATATTTGTCTTTATAAAGTAAAAGCTTTGAATGAATGTTTTTGAATTTTTTACATCTTTCATCTAATGATTTGTCAGGAAATTTGGTCTTTTCAATTATAACATTTTGAAACTCCTTCACATCCACTGAACCACCAAATTTGGCACATTTTATAGCTTCTATTTCTTGATTTGATTCATGTTTCATAGTTTGAATATCTTGAAATTCTTTTATTAAACCAAGGGATCTCCGTTTTGCTTGATCAGCATTATTATCACAGTCATTAATTTTTCTGAATTTGTTATCCAGTTTTATCTTCCATTCCATAGAACCTATAGGATGTATATTTACAATTTCGTGTCTGTTCAACTTATGAATGTAGCTTTTGTCATACTTATACTCAATTTCTTCATTGGCATTCCATATATGCAAATTTTTATTAGAACTTTTATTTTTAAATCTTAATGTGACATTATCATCAGATAAATTTATTTGATTTTTGCTTCCATTTATAAAGAAGCTAAAATCGAATTGTCTATGTTTACAGATTACATTCTCTGGAAGAACAATATCTTTACAAATTTCTAAAATAACGTTAAAATAATCTTTATATGGTGTCAGTGAAGGTTCAAAAATCAAAACATCATTAAACTTATCACATTGTAAATCTTTTAGATCCGAAAATATTTTTTTCATAACAGTCATCAATTGTTCAGTCTTTGAATCAGTTAATTCATCTGAGCATTTAAGTTTATTCCATAAAGTCACAAACATCTTACTATTTGCATGAGTATTAGAGTTCAAATGTGAGGGTAATTGTTTTTGTGATATTAACAACTTGCGATACTCTATAAAACAAGACCAATGTTCCCATGAGAAAATTGGCGTATGATTTTCATCAATCTCTTTAAACACATTATTTAATACATTAACTTTCTCACTTATCACATATTCTGTATGATCATCAAGTCCAAAAATTAATTTCAATATGAGAATAATGTAAGCCATGGCTCGACCTTCATAATTTGATATAGGGCCATTTTCAGATAACTTATCTGTGAATTCATTAACATTTGAAAATGATAATTTTTCAGCACATTCAGCCACAAAGGAGGGTAGCTCTAATTCAGAACAATATCTATCACAAAGTGTATACAAATTTGGTTTATTTAAATTTTTTACTTTGATCATTTTTGCAATTTTATATGCAACTGTGCGCACTTGTTTGTGACAAGGTACTTTATATTTGGCATTTTCGAGTAAATCATTATTTTGATTTTCTGATAAATATTCTTCTGGTATGAAATGCTTTAAGTTAAAGTAAGATATGTGACCCTCTCGACAATATCTAATCATATCGCCCAATTGAATTTTTTCTCCTGAGATATTTAGTGCAAGATATAATATTGCCCATAAAGAACTTCGGGTAACAAAAGTAGCACTTTTTAAATACTGTTCTGAAGGTCTACTTCTATGGCATTTCATTTCAGAATATTGATCATTAGCATGTTTATTAAAATGCTTACCAGTCATTTTCTTCATATATTCTTTTCGAGCCAAAGAATTGTATTTCACTGAACCATTTGATGTTACAGATGTTGTAGATTTTGTAGTATGGAAGCTTGAGTTGAAAACGGAATTGGTATCAGATTGTTGTGTACCAGCTATTGCTTCATATTCAGCTTCAATCAATGCTTTCTACAATAGAAAGTTTTTATTCAATCTTCAAATAATCAAATTGATAAAGTATAATTTATATATTGACATTACATTTTCAAGCCTTCTTTGTTTTGATGCCAAAGAAGCATCTAAACTAGTAATGTCCAAGCTTACTGAAGATGTTTCCAAATTGGCCGATTTTCGTTTTCTTTTCCTTCGAACTCTACCATATAAGATTTCTGCATCACTACAATGATTTAAGACTACATTTAGTCAATACAGCATTATAAGTACATGTAATACAAATAATAATACTGGCTTACTCGTTTTTAAAAGTGAAAGGTAATTTAGGGACAAGATTCTTTTTTGTAGATGTAAATGCTACATCTATACTTGTCAGGTAAGAAGTCCACAGTTGCAATGTAGTCTTTTTGAATTCTTCTGATGCTCCAAGTTTTTGTAATTCATCAACAAGGCCGATGAGTACATAATTATAAATTTCCCAGGAGGTAAGTTTGTATTCTGTACAATAAAGTTAATGAAGAAAATATTGATCTATAAAATTCTGAATGTTGTGAAAAAAACTAACCCTTGCTCTTGGTAGATGAAGATTTCTTAATTTTTTTGCCATGAACGCGGGCGGTGCTAATTCCTTGTGATAATTCATATTGAATTTCTTGAATCTCCTTAGCTCTTGTTCCACATTCTTGACAATAATAAAAACCAGCATCTACAATGAATTCTTTGCACCCACAAATCTCGCATTCTTGATTTGATTCCATAAATCAACTATTTAAATAAACTAAATAATAATAATACATAAATACTTAACAATTAATTGAATCTAAATATAACAATTTAATATTAGAAAATGCACATTATATATTTATATTGTCTAGGACACATGGCTTGCTTAAAATCTTTTTGTAGGTTACGATTTCGATATTGACAATTCAAAAATTGCGCTTATTTTAAAAAATTATAAAATGATTATTTAACTTTTTAAATCTTACAACCTGAAATGTTTTAAAAAATGATACAAGTAAAACAAATTAACAAATTTGTCACTATTATATTCTTTCTTCAAATTACCCATGTGGTATAAAAATATTTTACTTATGTTTAAAACTACAATCTTCATTCGTTAATGGACATCCTTGAGGATGATTATAAAAATACCAACAGTCTTTTTTCTGAAGCAATGCATTAAAATCAGTATCATCAACTAATTTTAAATTCTTAGGCTTCAATGATCTATTTTGTAATGCCTTACGTTTCAAAGTTACTCGATTGTCATTTGTTTTGTGAATTACATATAATTCTTTCATTTCTTGCACAGTTTTCGGCTTGCATAATGACACCATACCATTTCTTATATTAAATATATTTTGATTTTTTAATAATGTCTGCAAGCCACCACACTCTGATTTCAATTTATGTAATAAATCATTTGGAACTATCTCTGCTAATTCTTTTACATTGAGACACCCGCCTTCATTCCACCCATTCGCATCATTATTTTTTTTATTAAGCAATTCATTAACAATTCTATTTACAATATCTTCTTGAATATTTTTATTTATCTGTGTGCAATTTTGTACTTTTTCTATTTTTTCCCTGATTGTATAATTTGTTATAGAGGAACATTCTTCCTGCACATAAAGTTCTACTGATTTACATAAGCTATTATAATTTTCAATGCTTAAATCTCTATTCCATCCTACTAAACAAGTCCTTTTTGTACTTGGAATGCGTAATTTATCAATTTTTGTATTAAAACCACATAGGTTTGAAATATCTTGAACGTAATACAAAAAATCTTCATATACAGAATTGCTTGACAATTTACGTTGATATTTTTTGCCATTTAGCTCATATGGACAACAAGGTATAACAAAATAATTTGTATTTATAGAACTTCTTGTCGCTGTAATAGGTAACCAGGGAGTAATTTCATCAGAATGATTTCCTATGAGCCAATGCACATCTGGAAATGTATCAATTGATGGAACAAAAGGCTTCTCCTGAAATAACTCTACCTTTTAATAATATAAAAAAATTAATATTTTTATGTTAAATTTTATACAAACTTTTCATACTTTTAATATTGTCGATGAAGGGTATTTATCCCAAATGTCACGTTTTCTTATATCTAATCCATAGCCAGAATATCCTTCTGAATTTAAAATATGTACCAAAAGTCCATTACCACAGCCTAAATCAACAAAGTTTTGCATTGTATTACATTTTTTGTTTAATCTCTCCTGTGCCCATATAAGTAAAATATATGTAGCAATAGCTATATCTTCATAAACAAACTTTGAAGGATCAGTATTATCAGGCCATATCTGCAATGATAATTTGTATTTTCCAAATAACAACACAAATAGAATATAATGTAAGATTAAGCAATTACCTCACACATAGATTTCCCATATTTCAATTTTAATCTATGGTATAATTGTGCATATTGTTCTTTATTAATTAAGGATAATGATGGGCAGTTCAATGGAGATTTTTTATGAGTTCTCGGTTCTGACCAAGATATCACCTTTTTTAAGAATTTATTTTCTAGCCATGTTAAAAACTTGATATTTTTAGACTCTAAAATTATATTAATTTCTTACTTATGTTTTTGCTATTTTTCTTATTCATAATATTAAATATAAATAATTACCAGAACTATATGTACTCAAAATAATTGAATTATTTAAATAACGTATTTGGAAAGGCATAGGATGATTCAAATTTATATTGTGTCCGTCTGCAGTGTAAGATATACAATACACACTATTTTGTATAGAATCTGTAATAGTTTCCAAAAACATTTCAATATTATTTGTTTCATAAGTGCATAAATTCACATCTTTCATTTAATCAATCAATACGTACCTATTAAAAATATGTCATAACATCCTTTGCTATTATTTTTAAGAATATTTTCATTGCAAATAATAAAATATGAAGAATCTCCATCTGACAATGATTCGAAAATGTCATTAACGAATTCTTCTTCCATATTACGCAATTTGTTACTTAATTGTACTAAAAATTCATTATCTCCTTCAAATTTTAACAAATCTGCTAATAATTCTTGCAGTACAATTGCATTATTGTCAACTCTTCTTGAATAAATGCACTTTGCACACAATATTTTTCGATTTATATAATGAGGAGACGTTGATATGTTTTGAATAGCTGACCAAAAATTTTTTATACAACCCTTTGTTGGTTTACTTAAAAATTCACTAAAAAGGGTGGTATTTGTTTTTGTCGTAGTAATATTTTCGTTTTCCATCTTATATATTTATTACACAAATTATATTTTTATTAAAATGTATTATATTTTAAAGTTAACAAAAACTTTTTAAATATTAAAGATATATTTTAGTTATAAACAAATTGTAATAATGAATTCCTTATTGAAAAAATTCACATTGAAAAATCCACAACACGTTGGACAAGTGTCATTTTCAAAATAAAGCATTACCAACATAATAGTTTTTTCATAGCTTAAAAATGAATCACTTTAAATTTAAAACAATATAACAAAAATATTTAACAAAGCAATTATAGTTTATATTTACGTTTTTATTATAAATTGTATATATGAGCAATGAATCAATTTTTTAAACATTTTGATTTTCCTGGGCCCTGTAGCAAACTTGATATTTGACAACTGAACCATCAAAGCTATATATAAATATTAATCGAATTTCTATAAATCTTAAACACATATTTTGAATTAAAGATAGTAAATTAACAATGGCAGCGGGGGCTGAGCCTTTGTCACTAGCTAAAGGTGAACATAACTTAAACAAATGAAACCCCAAAAGTATGAAATTATTGTTATATTCCCATGTTTCAGATGTCAAAAGAGCCTGCGAGCTCCTTGATAAATTACAAATGACTGGAGAAATACCAGCCACAAAAATAGCTGCCTTACAAAAAGTTTTACAATCCGATTTTTTTACTGCCGTTCGCGAAGTTTATGAACATATTTATGAAACAGTAGATATTCAAGGTTCTGAAGACATAAGAGCATCAGCAACAGCAAAGGCTACTGTTGCAGCTTTTGCAGCCAGTGAGGGCCATGCACATCCACGAGTTGTTGAATTACCTAAGACAGATGAAGGCTTAGGGTTTAATGTAATGGGTGTGTTGAGATATAATACTCTTCTATTTGATTAACCTGTTATGATATGAAAATATTTATTGAAATCTGATAATCTTCTATAGGTGGAAAAGAACAAAATTCTCCAATATACATATCAAGAATTATACCAGGTGGTGTAGCTGATCGTCATGGCGGTTTGAAGCGTGGAGATCAACTGCTTTCAGTCAATGGAGATGTAAACACCTTTATATTAATAAATCTACATCAGAGTCAAATGAACTTGAAAACGTTATGATCAAATATATATATCTGATTAATTTGTAATATTTTTTTAGTCTGTTGATGGAGAAAATCATGAAAGAGCTGTAGAATTATTAAAACAAGCAGTGGGCTCTGTGAAACTAGTCGTTCGCTACACACCAAAAGTTTTAGAAGAAATGGAAAACCGTTTTGACAAGCAACGTGTACGCAGACGACCACAGAATTAGATAAATAAAAACCTTTTATCCTCAATGGACATCGTAGTTTATAGTCAGCAGATTCACTTATTTATTTATATCCTTAATTTAATATATCTTTTACCTACACCCACAAAAACTTATTAAAGATGATTTTAGTTTATAAGTTATTAAAATCACAAAATGTAAAATCAATTTTAATTGAATAAAGTATATGATTGTTTAAAATATATATTTTTGACTATTACACTGAAATATAAATTGATTGTATAATCAGATAAAAATGTACATCAACTAACATAAAATATAGTACACATAAAATGTAATAAATACAGTTATATACAATTATATCTATATTTAAAATATTGATCCACAAATAAAAGTCAATATTCCGATTTACCTAAGAATACTTAAATTCTATCTTATTATTAAATCAATTATCTTCACCAGACTGACTAACGTCATGTTTGATCTCTGAATCTTTATTGCTCAGCTCAGGAATGCAGGCAACTAATATAGTTGCTCATTTAAGCACATAAAAGATTTTCCTATTTCTCACATATAGTTAAAATTAAACCTGAAAATAATTAAAATATTATCATGGAGTTCAAATAGTTCAACCAAATGAATATATTTTTACTATACCTGCACAGAGCCTGAGGAAGTGAGGATATTATCGGGCCATATCCTTGAGAATTGTCATAAAGCTCAAACAAGGGTCCAGCTACTAACTTGTAGTTCTTAGGCACAGCAAATAAAGCTGTAAAAATAAATCATTAAAATTAATAACATAGACATTGATAACATTATTTACATGAAACTATCAGTTTAATTCACAAAATAAAGAGTTTCTCAAATTATTATTTTGCAGTTATTTCTAGAAACAATTCCAAAATGTACAGGTTTAAAACATGAACAAAATTTCATAATGAATAGAAAACAATATCACAAACATGCAAATTTGAGACAATTCAAAGTTATTTTAAAGTACATTACGTATTATGTGTTAATTTAGATTACATTATGAAATTTACAAATTTCAAATTTACTTATTAAATTTATATTGAAAATTTAATAAATAATTTGCATTTACAATTATAGTTAATGACAATACTATATAACAGACTTGTTCAGATGAAAATTAAAAAGATACATTAGTAAAAAATTAACTTGTGATTACTTACATCTGATTCAAATCAAGTCTGTTAGTCAATTATATAAAATACAAATCACTATACAAGATATTCAAATTCCTAATGTAGTAAAATCGCGATAGAATATTTATATAACAACTATGAAACATCTATACAAATTCTTATGTATGTATACTTAAATAATAATTTGCTTGCTTGTCTTAAATAAAGCAAGCAATACAAAAACAATTTCAGAAGTTTCAATTTCATAAAGTATTCATAAATATAATGCTTTCAAACAAAAGCTTTTTGATACATATTTATAAACACAATAATATTTAACATTGTTCCAACATTCATACATTAAATAAATTAAAAGCTCCGCTTACTCACACATTCATTTGCAATGTTCGATATGTTACAATGCGCATTTTTTACAAAAATGATAGAAAACTAATACAATCTTCTTCAGCAAATACAGATATTTATGTTTTAAATTGATACAGTACCCTTCTCTTGAAGCTGCACTAGAAACAATCTTTTATGTTCTTTTGGTTTTGTGATATGGGGAGCTACATATGGATATTGAGGCGGTTCAAAGTTTGGTCTCCACCAATTACCAACGGTGTCTTCTATTGTCCATTCCTGCTTAACCCCATCCTGCCTGCCCAGCGTCTGCAATGCTCGATTGTTAAACACTCACATTTTTGAAACAAATAAATGCAGTTAAACTCAAATCATTTGAATTGAAAGAACTATTAGATAAAACATCTGAACATTATGAGTTATAACATAGCAATTACAATCAATTATAGTACAATTCTATTCTAGTAAAATTCCATCACAACATAATCACAAATTTCAACACAACTTCATTTTCCTATTTAGTTATTGGTAAATAATTTTTGAAGTTGCTTATTCAATAAATATGACAAAAAATGTTAGGATACAGAACCAAATAATGTTAAATTCATATAAACAATATTTCATAATAGTTGCATTGCCATATAAATAAATAATGTTGTCTACATTCATGCATATACACACAAACACACACACACACACACATATATATAAATATATATATATATATATATATATATATATATATATATATATTTATGTACATATATATTATGTATATATGCATATATATACAAACCCACACACAAATGAAAGACGGTCAAGTCTTTCACATTATACCAAAAATTGGTATTATACATGATTACTTTCCTGATCATTTACATGATAAAAATAAATTACACTCTAAAAACAAATTGAATATTGAATTACATTATACAAGAACAAATATATAAATTGTTGATGAGTCATTAATTAATCAATAATTAATTAATTAATGATGTTTTTATTCCAATTATCTTTAATCCCATATGAGGTGAATGAACCATTATGAGCAGCAAACATTACATTTGGAAAAAACTTTGATTTTCAGATTTCCTTGTTTAAATTGGAGTGTAAAATTAGTATTTAATGACAAGCATTGATTAAAAACAACAATAAAAACATCATATCTACCAAAAACAATTTATGAGCATTTAAAATTTACTATGTAATTACAATCAAAAATTACAAATTAGAGAATTGATTAATGAATAAAAATAAGAATTTAGCAATTTTGTAAAATTTATAACAATATAACAGTTATTTTAAATATAATTTCCATTTAAACCTGATGAATTGATTAACATTTCTTAATATTTAGTCACTTCATTACAATTAAGCTGTGAAATCTAAATTAAAAACGAATTGTGATACAAAGTATACTAAATATTTTTATTATGCCACAAAGGCTCAGCAATTGCGGCTTCACTATTCATTCTCATCATGCTACATTAAAATAATTACTCAAAACTTACCTCTGTCAATAACCTTTTCAAGCCTTCTACTTCATCCTCACCAGGATTTAATTCACCTCCGGGTAATTTGAAAAATGTTGTTCCTAATTGTAGAAGGAGAACATGTGGCAAACCATGTTCATGGACTAACAAAATTCCTTCAACTGACCTACGCATACCGATTCTTTCAAACTCGTCACGCATTCTTTGAAATCGAGCTGGAACTGAGGGATCTTTTTCAAAAAGTGGTTCCTTTGTTCCAAATGTATAGTTTGTTAAAGGATATCTGTGGAAACAAAAGTAGATCATTAAACAATAATAATGTGGTTCTTATAGCAACCACTGAACCCTTTACTAAATAAAGTATTTATTTCTTCATGATTATTCAAGAAACTATCAAGACTCATTTAACAAGATATTTGAAGTAGTGTGTTGATGTTTACTAATATAGATTCCACTATGTATTAATAGGCACTGATAACTATCTGTCACATAGGCTCTTGTAGTAAAACTTAAAAATGATTTTGTATTTAAATTTTAATCAAGAATACTAAGCACAAAGGACAAATTCCAACATAACCAAACACGAAAAAAATACAGATTCATAAGAACCATGGGGGCTCAGTAGTATTGCTTATAAATTAATTCTGATAATTACACGGATATAGTCCTGTCAAAATACTTATTTCCATTAGTAAAATCACTCTTTTTACAATCCGCCATTTTGATCAGTTTTTGTACTCACACGTTAATCGTTCTATCAATCGTAATTGACTGGTTTACAGGCCTAGGAGCTGCCGTTGTCGGATGAGCTTTCCTCGGCCACCCGCTGCCGGATTTATTCGCTACTTGCTGAGGGGGCATCGTCATATTGTAATTTTAATTATTAAAACACTGTTAAAACAATAACTAATTTAGGCTCGTTAATTAAGTTATTGACGAAGCCGGTAGAGACCAATCAACGAATGTATACAACAAACTTTTCGAGTAGTATTGCCAGATGATGTTATTAAATCGCCATGTAATCGTCATAAGGCGCGAAAGGCGGTAAATTCAAAATATTACAATCTCTCTTACAAAATTTATAGATAAATAATAATCAATTAAATTTTTTACCAAATGAGCACAAAATTCGTCATAAAATAAACAATATATCAACACATTTCCATTCTCCAACAAATTTTGTTAAACATTTAAAAATAACCGGTTTTTGAGTTATAATACTTAATGCATTTTAAATTAAAAATGTATGTATAAATTAATAATAAAAATTAGACATTAGTAAGTCCATTTCTTTCAAAGCACATGATTCAAAATGAAATGATACAAATGTGTATAAAAAACATAATATTACTATGAGAATGTTCAAAACATATGATTTTTAATTAATATTGCTTTATTAATATATGAATTTGCTTAATCGATATGGGGATCATCCTTGAATTCACAAGTTTTATCTACAAGGAATGTAACAATAGAAAAGATATATATAACCACTAATTACAAACTATACAAGTTATGCTAATTAAGGCACAATATTTCTAAAATTATCTTTCTCGATGATTAATATATTAAATGCTTCTTATATGAATACCTTTGATTATATATAAATTTATTATTGCATGTTCATTCTCAAAATTTGTTTAAAATCTACAATCCACATTAATTTGTCGATTAACAATTTTTAATACTATTTCATTGAAATATAACATCTCAAACATCAAATATTATTTTATAATACATTTCACAAAAGAAATATTTTGACAATTTTAGTTATATACAAATCTTACTTAGGCGAATAAGGCTAAGATAATTAAGACCATTACATTTAAGAAATTATAATTCCCAAGATGAAAGGTTTAACCCATTTTCCTTCAATTTGAAATGTTTTGACACAGTAGGTTTGTTTTCACAAGGTTTATAATAAAAACAAAAAAATCATTAAAACATTTCAAAATAAATATACATTTAATTAATTAAATCTAAAATTATGGGCTCTAAATATTTATCAACTGCAGTAAACTGCATGTATAAAAGGGTTTTATATCCAGACTTACGCCTATTCTTTTATTTATGTGCCATAGAAAAACTATCCCGAACAACAAAAGTACAAGAAATGATGAAAAAACATTAATTGATTTGACGCCTTTGTAACATACATACTTTCAAAAATATATAAATACAACAGATGTGTAAGTTTCTTTCATATTAAACTAGTCCTTATATATTAATTAACAATTATATTAAAAGTTAATATTACATTATTAACAATCACTGATAATATTTATTGCAGGAAGCAACTTACATATGAGCTATGTACAAAACAAAAAATACCTGGCTAGAATTATTCTTTCAAATTTGAAGTGCAAAAGAAAAACCACATTTAGGAAATTGGGCAATACACATTGCGTGATGTACAATTGAATATATTATGACATAGTTCATTAAATAATTCAACTGACTATATTTATTACTCAGAAATCAAATCAATCATATAAGAATAAAGATATATATATATATATATATATATATATATATATACATCTGTGATGGACAACTTTCTATTAATTGCACAATTTTTATACTAATTATAAATACTAATATCTAATCACTGTATGCAAATAAAATTATTTACTGTTATAAATTGATCTTGTATATTAAATATTAGGAATAATATTGTTTCATTCAAACTTGAAACAGAAGTTGTATAGATTATTTTTACAATTCGGTTTAATTATCAAAAACAGAAAAACATATATATATATTTTAATTATTATATAATTATATTTGCATACATATTGCATTTAATGCAGATTTATAACTTATCGATTATATATTATTGGTTCCCTGCACCTTGAATTTAATCCATGATTGAAGTGATTATTAATTTGGTGCAATACACTAGTTTGGAGAAATATTAAAATTATGATAAAACAAAACTTTGAATATTTTTCAAAGTTGAATAATTTAAAATGAATAATTTTGTATAAAATTAATACAGCAAAACGATCATGACATTTTAAAATTTGTACAAAATCCATTCATTTTGCATATTTACTATGAATTTATTTATCTAGTTTCAAACATTCTTACAGTTGCAATAAGTTTTCCAAGATAAGAACTCATGATTGAAATTAGGCAGTCTAGTTCTTGCGCATGCAACATGAACTTGAAATATTTATTCATGCTTTCTATCAAAGAATTATTTGATATTTTTCATGTACATATAAAATTTCAACCTTACATTCAATAAATCTCCAACCTTTGCACACTTATACAATTTATTTGTATACAATCTGTTCATGAACATCATTGAAAAACATTTGGATAAAAAGCTCTATTTTGTTGATTGGGCATAATACCTTGTTGCTGAGGCATCATTTGTATTAAATTATTTGAATTATTCATGAAGCCGCTTTGTTGAGTCATTTTATTTACATTCATATTGAGATTGGGAGACATCATTCCTCCAAATTGCAAATGCGCTGCTGCTGCAGGCATCATATTATTTACTACAGGCCTATTTAATGGCTGATTTATTGGACTTGTTGGATTGCTTTTAAGCTGGTTCATACTAGGCGCATTTCCGGATTTACTACTTTTATTTGATAAAAGCAAGTTGTCTAAATCAATATTCAAACTTCCAGTATTAGTCCACGTTGCGCCCAAATTTGCTTCTGCTTGTTTTTTCTTCTCTTCTTCATGTTTCATGTTTGAAGAATTATTCAACGTATTCACAGGTTGTAGAACTGTACCTAATAAAAATTTATAATTGTGTTTTAGTTATCATTAATGGCGATCACTTGGAAATTACTGAACATATCTTATTATTAGATCTTTAAATATTATATTGAATTTAATTGTGCAAAAATGTAAGTCATATTTTGAATTTCACCATATTATCGAGAATGAGGGTAGTTTACAATGTTCTGTAGTTTTTGCATTCAAAATAAAATCAAAATCTTTTTTTAATGTGGGCAAGAACAAAATAATATACCTCCATACAATCACATCGCAGTCTAGCAAACTTATTTCAGATCTCAATGTTTATTTAACATCATAAGTTTTATAAAACAAACAAATATTTACAAAAACATTAATTTATTACTTCACATACAGAAAATTAGTCCAAATAATTATTAGATCTCAACAAAGGGATTCCATCTGAAATTACACAATTTAAACAACTTAATACTCTTCCAGCCATTATTTTACAATCACTATTTGGTTCGATTCCCTGTACAACATTTTCGTCTAAGCAATTCATTAGCCAATCCCTGATATCCAACAATTTGTCGAACAAATGATTTTGTAGAATAATTACTGGAGTACTTATAACGACGGAAGCTATACTATGCATTACAGCCAATCTGACTTTGGGTTCCAAATGAAATCTCAAACACCAAACAAATTCTAAAATTTCTTCCGCGAACTTCGGCGCCATAGGCAAATTTTTAGAACACAACATAATGGCTGATATTGTATCCAAAAAATGAACCAATAATATATGATCCGTATCGAACTTTAAACCAGCTTTTACAGATATAGTGAATTGATTCTTGCTCAACCCATAAAGTAATGGATAGAAAAAGCTATTAGCAACTTTATTAAATTCGTTAACTTTTGTATTTAGAAAAGGATGTACTGTTTTCGATGTTATCCTTCGCGTTTTAGACTCCAAGCGTTTACTTATAATTTTTTCAATTTCCAGTTTGGGATCCACAGCTATTGGTTTTTGATAGATATTATTTGGTTTATATATTTTGACCTCTTTCTTGCTTAAGTCTCTTTTAAATGAAGATATTTTTCTAGCAGCTTCTTTTAAAATATCCAAAATGTATACACGAATATTCACAGAATATCTGGTAGATTCGGTATGAAACTCGCTCGCCAAAAACTCGGCGCCTTCCTTAGGAATTATAGTAACAATCGTTACACACATTTGAAAATGTTTCTCTTCATAATTTTCTACATAAAAATTATTATGCATATTGATGAGTATTTGCAAAAGCTCTAAACCCATCTCTGGATCAGAGTGGGGCAACTGAGATAAAATCAATTCTTCGCCCTTGTTAAAATTTATTGTAAATATGTCTACATTTTCAGTTTCCAATAGGCCATCTCTTAAATCCTTCAAAAACATAGGAGATTCTACTTTCGAATAAACTTTGTCGTTAGACATATCATATGGAACTAGATCATCATCTGAATCCAAGCCTTCGTCATCAAACATTGTTATTCCACCTTCCTCAGTTTTATTATCTTCTATATATTCATCAGATATAATTCCTTTTGGAGTATGGGATTCAACTATAGTTCTTGATTTCCGTAATTTTTGCTCGGAGAAAAAGTTAGATAGGATTTCATCTTCAGTTTGGTTTATTAATATATTTTTATCATCATTGTTGGAACTAATATTTTTTAAATCAATTAATAATACTTTTAATTCATCTGAACTCATGTCATACTCAAACTTCAACTCAGGACCATTCTCTTCATTAAAATACTGAAACACGTATTCTGCTGTAAACATTCCTATATATCTATAACTTTCTAAAGATGATTTTAAATGGACTGCTACACCCTCATATAAAATAGTTGTTAAAGTAATGTCTTTTCGTAAAGATGTAATATTACTTTCAAGCTTTACTGCAAACAATAATAATTTAGTAATATACAAATGTTGGTTAAAACTCGTTTGCTTACAAGATGTTTCACTGGACCATATTTCTAATAAACTTTTGATCAAGTTATATAATACTTTACATTTATTATTTTTCTGTTCACTTAATTGCAAGTACAAAATTAAATTTTTTATCAAATTATCATTGTCAGAAAAAAAATTAGCAAAGGGAATTTTAGAAGTCAGATGATAAAACCAATCTTTATTTCCAATGAGATCAGGACCTAATACTTTGTAAATTTTCGCATCTTTATCAAATGGTATATTCAATAGCAACAGTATTGAAAATACTGATATTGCTTGATGATCCAAATCTAAAAGTATATTTTGAAATAATTTAATTGGAGTTTTGTCACTATCACACCAAATGGAAGTCAAGTCAATTAATTTCAACAATCCTGCTGAATTTTTGAAATGTACAATTATCCTACTTAAGAAATATGAGATACGCTTCACATTGCATGAGAATTGGGAATCACTTAAGAATGTGATGCATTGTATGAATGATTTTAGCATATATTTAGCATAGTTTTCTGGAATGAAAGATTCTGGAGCACTTTTCCCCATTGCATTAAAAACCCGATTAGGTAGAGAAATTAAGGTTTGAACAAAATCATTCCATTCATCTTCAAAGATAACACTCCGTTCAGTTGATAACACATAATTCAATAGATTAGAAAATATCACATCACTCTCTAGAATTTCTATAAGACTTAATGCAATCATTTCCATCTGAACATTACTTGATAATTTCAAACTATTTAATAATACACTCAAAGTAACATGAAGGAACCCAAACTCTTCAATTAGCATTAAACTTGAAACATCACTATCTATTAAATTATCATTAATTGGCCAATTATAAGTGGTCAGGCGAATTAATTCATGTAGAAAATCACTGTGATCTTTTATTAAATAACATTTCCAATTAATTTGTGGTTCATCTAATTTCACATTTTCTAACTTTTGGATTGTCATTGGTCCGGGAAAGTTTTCTCGTAATAATTTCAAACATTCTTTTATTATGGATACTTCTTTGCCAGATGTAATTTGTTGAATATTGGATAAGTTTTTCATAATTTTCTTAAAAGTCTCTTCAAAAGTTGCATTTTTCTTAGAAGAACAACTTGTTTCAACTGAAAACAAAAACCTACTATGCTTGCCTATTCTATATATTTATTTATATATGCATATATCTAATTTATGAAAAAAGCTATGCATATCATAAACAGCAAGAATTTTATTTAACATCTTAAATGTTATGATTCTAGCTAGTCATGATATGAAAATAACAGTACTATGTAATAAAACAATGTTAAATAACAAATTTGCTAAACAAGATTACAAAACAAAAAGACTCACCTGACATACTGAATCCTGCGGAATCACTCATGCTCAACCCACTAAAATCTGATGATAATAAATCTGGGGCTCCAATAGGTTTTGGTGCGAAATCGGAAACAGGTTGTAACAACAAGTTATTATCCAATAAATTTGTTTGCTTTTGCTGACTTGGACTAGCAACAAATGCTGATGAAAAATCAGCAAATTCATCTTTTGGTGCTGCTAAATCATTTAATAAATCTACACTAGCTGTTGCAGGCTTTGCTGGTTGAGCAAATGCTTGTGAGAAATCCCCAAAATCACCATTGCTTTGCTTCTCAGATGCTCTTGGATCAAAATCATCATTATCAGTTGTACTATTCACTGGACAAGTCTTAAATAAATCATCTATTAAATCAGTAGATGTATTATTATTAGGGCTAACAACACTTTCTTCAGAATGTGTATTTTTGTGAGTCGGTGAGTTTATGTTGACATCTTTGCCATAATTTGCTGCAGCACCTAAATCAATTTTTTTGGCAACTGGTTTACTCATTTGTGTTGAAAGTTTTACTGGTGATTTAAGATTAACACTGATAGGGGTTTTAGACTTTTTTTCAACTGGTGCAGGTAACTCGGCATCTCTATATTTTCTTGCAGGTGGACTATTAGACGAAGATTCAATATCTGAATCTTCTCGTTCACCATCATATGGATAGTCATCCTCAAATGAACCTGATTTTTCATGTGTTGTTTCTAGAATATATCATAGAAATAAATCAAAACTGTTAGTTTAATTATGGCATTCAAGTTAAAATAATATATATAACGAAAGTATTACTTACGATTAGCATCCCATTGATGATCATTATATCCAATATCACAGCCCATACCGCCTCCAAATCTCATTCCTGTAGCATCTGAACTCATACCTGCAAATTAGTGCACATATATTTTTTTATTTTTTCCAGTTTTATAAGTGCTGATTTTTTTCTAAGAGTCAAAAAAAACATAAAATTCACAAAATATTAAAAAGAAAATTTACCTATATATTTGTCTTTATTTTTTTTGGCTTTTTTTCTCTCTTCCCGTAACTTATCATCATCTTGAATAAACTCTATAAGTTCTTTTACCTAAAATTTTAATAAATTATTAGCTGTAATGGTCTGCTTTCATTAACAATTTATAATATGATATTTTAAATAATTAATAGTTAAATTAAAATTAATAATCACCTTATGTCTTATATTTATTCCTTGATCCTTCCCCATTTCATCAATAAATGAGTAATTTTCAAGAGATCTTAAGTCATATATATGTTCTCGAGATGAGGTGACCACTCTCTCAGAACCATTTCGAACTAGATAATTCAATAAAAGCAAACTCTGTAATAAAATCAAATTAGAAAATTATAAATCAAACTCAAACACAAAAATTCAAATGATATTAATGTTTATTCGCAAAACTAAATATATGAATAGAATTATAACTGTTGCACAAATATTTCTACCACAAATTAAGAAAAAATAAAAAAAACAATCAAATAAATAAAACTTTACGTTTACCTTGTAGGTCCGCCTCCAATGTTGCTTATTATCTTGTAACATTCTCTTCCAAAGCATTGACATAACTTCAGGAAAATGTTCATATGAAAATGTTACATGTGCTAGTTCTTGCATAAGAGCCCCTGTAGGACCCCATGCTTCATCATTTGTTGCTTCTCTTACTTTACCTTCAAATTCGGTGTAATTCATTACCACATTGGTCCTAAAAAAATTGTGTAAATAAAGTTTGATAAACATAATAAAGCATTCAATAAAAGTGAAATTTATCTATCATTTCCAGCACATAAATATTCAGAAGCTATAAAGTAATATTGAGCGAATCTAAAAAAAGTTTGTAAATCATTTTTTCATATACAGAAGTATAAAAGAATACATTATTTTAACAATAACTGAAATAAGTGAAATGCATGATTATATATTGCTACATTATCAAAAGACCTTCAAATAACACTGATGTTATAAACTTGCACAATCTCTAAAAATATTCTTTATGAACTCTTCTATACTATTTTTCAAGAAAATTTTTGATAATATAATAAAAATTAATACTGTTGTAATATACAAATTGATATTGTTGTAACATTTGTAAAAACTTACATGTATATGAGTGAAAACAAATAAAAATGATTTAATGCTAAAAAATAATTTGAATATTAAGAGAGTAAATTAAGAAAGAAAATAAATTCAATTGAGCCTATCTAATTACATAACATTGATTATCATTTTGTTTTTATTCCAAGAATACATTCCAGATGGGCAATTAAATAATGACAAGTCGACGTTTTAACAAACTTACACTTTATCAGCCAATTCCCGAACTTTCCACATGCTGAATAATTTATCGACCATTTTGACGTCTATTTAATTATTATTCATACAGTTTATTATTCTTATTATACACGATCATTAATTTCTGAAAATAACCACTTTACCCTCACTTTACTTTCAGCAAACTCGCAAACGTCACTAGAACTAGAACTGTCTTTGCTATTTCATTTTAAAAAATGGCGAATGTTGCTATTTACTGCCACGTAGCGCTTCGATCAAAAATATACCGCGAATTTTGAAAAGAAAAAAATTCTATACTCTGTCAAGGATTATTTTTATATTTAATCATATATGTACATAATTGACATTTAAATTATTAATTGAATCTGTAAAAAAAACAATGGTTATTTATATTGTGTCTGTTGTTAGATACTATGATTAAACGAATTATTTTCATTTTTTATTGATAGCTATCGGTAGAATAAAGAACAATATTTTATATTTATTTCATGATTTCAATCTATTACATTGAATAAATAATAATTCAGATTCAGTCATAATCTTTAATCGTTTTTCTTTCTTCAAATGAAACAATTTAATTCATATAAGTTTTTTATTTTCGTAAATAAAGAATTTGACTGTGTAACAGATAAATACATCGTTAACATACGATTACAAAACTATTTAATCAATATATGATATTTACAAGTACTTCCATCTCGGAAGTGATTTGTATCACATTCTGTAAACTTTTAGTATTTAATACTAATAAGTTGTAACAAAATACATTACACCTAAAAGCTCTAAAGTGATCAAGTAACTCATCATTATTAACATAAATTATAGTTGTTTTTAATTAAACTCGATTCCAATTGTTTTGAATATCAGTCCACAAAATATATTTTAAAATACATTTTAAAACATAGTCCAATTTTTTAAAAATATAAGTTAAAAATATTTTTGTTAAAATGTATATAACACTTGAAGATCAAAATTATATGAGATTTTTTAATACGGGTATGATGTTGTTGAAGGAAATACAAGTTTACAATTAACTTGTTGAAAACTCCTTTGAATGAAATGTGAAAAATATAAGATGCAGATAAAATGCATATAAACATCATACAAATTACTGCATATCTAAATTTTTCAGAGTTATAAGCAAACTTTTATAATATATAGAAGTGTGTTTATATTAATGATGAATTATAATATATAATTAGCTATAATATGTACAAGTACTCCCATTTCAGAAGTGATCTGTATAAAATAATTTCTAAAAGAATAATAAAATGTTAGTACCATACACAACAATATTTTTAATATTATTAACCATAAACTTCATGCTCGATTTCTTTTTGAGTATTTATGAAATAAACGAGCTCTTGGCTTTGAGAAGTAACAATTGTGCACGAATATCCTCAAGTATGCCCCTAATTGTATCAATTATAAAAATTTTGCATTTTAGATATATGTATATATAAATATAAGTAGGATTATTTGAATTTTGTAAAATCGTTTATAAATAACTTTTAATAAATACCAACAAAAATTTCTCAACACATTAACCAATGATTACAAAATTTTAATTTTTTCAATCACATTTGTACAAACCCATCCGCCCAGCGGCCGCCAAGTCAAATTTTATTTTTTGACTAGTCAATATTAAAAGTATTTACAAAACCACAGTTCCAAGAGATACTATCGAATCAAATCAGGATATTATTTTTTGAACAAGACATTACGTTTAGTTATAAACATTAACATATCACTTATGAAATATCTTGCCCTATATATCTATATATACACACAAAACTTAACAAAAATTTTGATTTTACACTTTCCATTGTAATGGTCAAATTAACTCGTTCGAATATCGAAAAGGGTGCTATCATTTCGTAATCTAGATGTTGTATTATTTATTGTATTATTCTCTGTATGCATTGTATTTAAACTCAATGCTCCATAAATATGTGCTCCGGATATCGCAGGCAATTCTCTTGCTTTCAAGCTTGTATCATTTCTAGTTGGCATTGAAGCATTTTCAGAACTTTTATCTTCTGCCATATTTGTTTCTGGCAAAACTAAGCGCAGATTAAGTGCATCAGTAAAACTAGGTTCTTTGATTTCACCATTTGCATTATTTTCATTTTTATCTCCAAGAAGTACAAACTTGAAAAACTCATAAGTTGACCAACATATTGCTGCTGCCGGCATTTGATATAAAATTCTAGCTTGCATTCCACGAAAATAACCAAAAGGACCAGCTAATTTGTATACCTGAAAAGAAGATTTTGCATTTCCAGAAACAAATACAAAATTTAAATACATAATAAACATTAACTCAGTTGTATTACTTACATGCCTCAATGCACTAAGCATTGATCTATTTTTTCCTTCAGTGTTGAGCAATGTTTTACAAACATCTAAAGGCGTAGTGGCTGCAGCAGCTACTGCACCAGCAAGTGCTCCGCTTACCATGTGGGCCACTGGGTTGTAAATTCGTTCAGGGTTTGACTAAATAATAATAAACATTACATATTAAAAAAAGGCAACAGGAAACATTATATGCATATCTTTATCATCAGGGTAATGCAACAAGTATTATCCAAACAAATCTTTTAAAATATTCCTACAAGTTATTATATGTGATAATACACATTTTGAAAAAATGTGAAGTTTATTTCTTATATACTTACATAGCCTTGCACAAACTCATAAGTCATAAAATGAATGCTCTGGAATGGCACATTCATAAATAATTGAGTTGTATATGAGCGATAGAATGCTCTTAATCCTTCAGCTTGGTATACTGATCTTATACATTGCAAAACACTTTTATATGGAGAATTATACATCTGCATTCTTTGTTTTACAACTGAAAAAAGATTATAAAATAGTGATACAGAAGTTTTAATTTTAAAGTTTTATTATGTTCACCTTCTGTTGGATTTGATATGGCATCATGGATAAGAGTTGCCACACAGCCTGCCATTCCTTAAAAAAAACTTTGTTGTGAAATTTAATAGCTGATAAGTCAAATATATGCTATAAGTGAATTGTCAGTTAATAAAGTAGTAAGTATTATAATGTATCAGGCAAAATATAGTAGCACTATATGAATTGAATGTTATGCATCTAATAACAAGACTCACCATAAGAAACTTGTTTATATTTGTGATGTGTAATTCTTGATAAATGTTCTTTTGAATATTCATAACTTGCAAAATAAAATGCATGTGCTGGTCCTGCACCCATTACAACAGCTGATAAACCCCTTAGTGGCCTAAATTTTAAATTGTAAATGTTTCACTAATAGTTATATATTTTTATTGCTATCACATAACTAAAAATATGTACGTTTATTTAGGTTTATCATCAAGTAACTGTCTTTTGCAGCAATAATAGTGTGGTGTGCATAAATAACACTTGGCTAATATTAGAAAATTCTTTACTAGGTTTTATACTTCACTAGTCTTCCCATCATTTTTTTATTTCTTTTTCCTATTGTTAGTTTTTTCTATCTCTATCATCATACTAAAGTCACTCAAGGCCAACCTCGATCAAATATTTCAATTGCAATATAAACCTTTTCAAAAACTGATAAAAGACCATAACTAATAAATCCATTTATGCTAACCTTGTTGCACCTTCTTGCTGGATCATTTTCCAAAATATTCCTGAAATAGACTGACCAGGCTGATGGTAGAGGGACTGCATTCTTGTCTGAATATTATATTCCCAGAAAATATTATTAAAAATAAATATAGTTTATTCAGAAGCATGTGAGAAATATATGTTCACATCATTATTATTAAGCATTATTCACATATTATTGAACAGCTGATATTAGAGTATTCGTTAATTATAATTTAGTGTTTGTATTAATATGTAAGCTAGTAATTACCCATAAAAATTACACACAAATGAAAAGTAAATTCAGTGCAAATTGTCATTACTGATTATAAAAATGAAAATCTATTTTATAACAGTTAAGCAGATAATACAGTTATATAGAATTTTAAAAAATCTCTTAATAAGCTAATAATCAGCTTTATAAATATAAATGTTTTGTAAGAGTCATATTACATTAATGCAATAAGTTACAATTAAGTTATACATATGATAGTTAAAGGTATATTAAATTTAGAAAAAAAAGTAAACAAAACTCTACAAATGATAAAAAAAGTATTTTAATATTTATGCTGCAAAAGCATTGACATATAATTGTGCAATATTTTTTGTATTATTTAAAGGCACAGTTTTATTGTATAAAATAATAAAACTACAAGCAAATATGTATGATTTATGTACACAAAACAGTATGTAGATAAAAATATAATGGATTTATAAAATATTTCAATGTTTCCACAAAAAATTAAAAAGTGAAATCTACTGTCTACTGTCAAGTATGTTTACAGATTTTTGGAGATAATAGGTAAACATGATTAAGCTATTTATAGTTAACAAATCAAATATTATACTTATAATAAATTAACGCAAAAAACAATCATATCATGTATATATTAAAAAATTTGACAATAATAATTGCTAACCTAAAATCTGTACATGATTGTAGGTTAGGTCAAGGTAAGTATTTCGTAAGTAACGTGTTGGAGTTCCAAAGGCAAATTAATGAATGGACACATATTAAAGAGATAATTACTAAATTAATTAATAACAATACCTTTACTGAATCTAGCGGGTACATTATGCAATGTTCTAAGACACCCGCGATTGCCCCAGCCGTCATATGGGTAGCAAAATTATTCGTAGGAAGCGATTCATAATCGTCATAGTCCATAATAACACTAAAATCTTATTAATTATAATTGACACCGACTTAATTAATACTGTATATTATTTTGGGGATTTTTATCGTATTTTATTCAGCACATTTTGTTAAATCTGTCGAAACACGAACTTCTGCCTCGTTGATTTCATAAGAACTGAAAACTTTACTTGACTGTATGGCGGATAATACGCATGCGTCTTCAAACGTCATTTCATACAACGAGAAGTCATCGACTAATTAAATTTCGAGGATTTTAAAGGTTTTATATTGAATATTATTTGGATATAAACATTTTTATATCAGTCAATTTATTTTGTGATTTTATTTACGTTGAAAATGTCAATTGAAAACAAATTTATGCTGATATAAATCTAAAGTTCTAGGATGCTACAATTACAGATAAACAAGCTACAATGCTTCATAGTAATTGCAATTAAAAAAAACAAATAATGATTTAGAATTTATATATTATTGAAGTTTTATATATTACAATTTTAATAAATTATTATTTCAATTTATTAAGGTTTTTTTATTATTTCAAATATCTCAATTTATTTAGTTCATAAGTTATCCATTTGTTATAAGTAATCAAGGCCTGTTTCCCTACACATGGGCTTCATATTTATATTGTGTATCTTACTATCTAATTTTATCCTGATTAGATAATAAATGTACAGGTTTCATATCATGACGGTTATATTATTATAAAAACGTCATAAAATTTCTTATTGTATTATTAATTTGCTACATGCATATTTATAGTAAATATACTTGATATATTTGCATTTGCTAGCACTGTATTGTGCCTTTGGCCTTGAACTTCGTTTTATATAAGAACTCTATATGCAATCGATATTAATACAAAAGTTGATTCGTATTTAGAAGCTTTTATTGTTAATTGTATGCATCATATTTTAATAACTGTACTATAGTGAGATACGAATGAAAATTTAATGAATAATGTACTTAGCACTAAGGGCACAAAAAAAATATTGTGCAACTAATCCTTAATCTATAGCTAGACAAATACTCATAACTTAATTTATTTAATATTTCATTGTTTATTGGAGAAATAATTAAAATAATTAAATAAAAATATAATATCAATTAAAATATTTTGTTCTTGATTTGTAGCATTATTCTAAATCTATCTTGCCAACCATGTGAACTCAAGACCATGTGCAGAAAAATTAAAGTATTCATACAATATAAATAAAATATAATAACTAGTACTAATTAAATATTAGAAATTGATTAATTAATAAAAAAATATGATTTACATTTATATATTTATTAAAATATATTGAAAAAAAAAAAAAATCTAAGTATGTCTAACTTCATTCTAGTTTAACTTATCCTTTCAGATCACATCCGCCATTTTTATTATTAATTTATGCCAACGGGTGTAACAGATTAGCTAAACAAAAAGCTTAAAAAACAACGTTAAAAAGTGAAATCTTAAAGTTCTCTAACAACTGTATAATGGCAGAATCAACAGCTATTGTAAGAACTCGAAAATTCATGAGGAACCCTCTTTTGTGCAGGAAACAAATGGTTTGTGATGTGATCCACACAGGTCAGCCATCGGTCCCAAAGACTGAAATTCGTGACAAGTTAGCCAAGATGTATAAAGTAACTCCGGACGTAGTATTCGTTTTTGGATTTCGTACAAGTTTTGGAGGAAGCCAATCCAAAGGTTTTGCTTTAGTTTACGATTCTTTAGACCACGCCAAGAAATTTGAGTCAAAATATAGATTAGGCAGACATGGCCTTTATGAAAAGAAGCAGCAGACCAGAAAGCAGCGCAAGGAACGTAAAAATCGTACCAAGAAAGTTCGCGGCATGTGTTTTTTATCAATTCAATTATATATTTCAGATTTTTGGATGCAAATGACATCCACCACCATGTTATTACACAGAAATTTTTAAAGATTATAATTGAATTTATAATCTAATTCATATTGTCAGCTCTGCTTTTAAACATTAATCAATCAGCCGAAAATATATGCATGTTTAACCAATGTATGACACCACTTAAAAAAATAGCTTACAATATATATGAGAGGTTCTGAGAACTTCCAAATTTCTAATGAAATATTTTGATCTTGTTGTGAATGTTTCAGATAATTAAGATTGAATATTATACGCCATATCATATATCAATGTTAACATTAAAAGCGACGATATATAATCACAAGAATATAATCAGAAAGAATAATAAAATCAAGGTATCAAATTGTGATTAAAAAATAGAAGCTACACAGAACATTTGTTTTATACAACCATAATGGGACGTTTCTACACTGTTGTGTGCCATCATTCAGCATTTTTTTATGTTTTACACTTATCTAAACAAAGTTTAAAAAATATTAAATTTAAAATATTATTATAAAATAAAAAATGACAGTAAATATTGATACATACCACACCCGGAAAAATAATAACACAAATTTAAAAAATATAAAAAATAAAATAAACAATAGTAAAATAACAATTTATGTTGGGTCTTTTGCAAGCAAAAAGCCGAGCGCGCACGATGCAAAAAACCGAGGATTTACGAAGATGTTGTAAAAGAGAGTTTCAAGGATAGTTAAACAGTGGGGACACAATTGGAGAAAATAAATACAAAAATATGAAATATATCAAAAGAATTTAATTGAAAAAAAAACAAGAGTCAAAATTTGAAGTCAATATTTCTATTTCTATTGATATTTGACAATATCAATAGTCAATATTTTATTATTTTTAATTATTTAAAAAAAAAATTATAATATTATGATAAGAATCATGTACTAACAGAGCAGAATTTCGTTTATTAACGCAAAGGGGGTTTAAAAAGATAAATACAGATTCAGCAAATTTTCTGAGGTCACCATTCTTTTCCTTATGTATATATATTTATATATTAATTAACTTTCTATTACATTAAATACATCAATTGTTGTGCTGATTAAATATTATTATTTTTATCTTCCTTTTTGTAATTGGTATTATATTCGAATATATCCATCCATATTAAAACATATATAATACGCAGGATGTAAAGCGTACGCATGTACATATCGCGAATTTTCATACAAGGCCACGAATTGTGGTACAATGGACGCGTACGGGCTTCGTATAGTCAGTGGAATTTTGTATTCAATACAAGATATATATATATATATATATATATTATATATATATATAATACCTAGAACACAAATATTTTTATATATATATATATATATATATATATATATATATATATATTATATATATATATATATATATAATATGTTTTTTTACTTCAGTATCTGTTACAACTACTAAATAATATAACATCTACTAACATAAGTGAGTAGTAATATAAATATAAATAAAATAGAGTACAAAATAAAAGATAAAATTTTCATTAAAATGATATCAGTATTATGACAATTTAATATAAAATAAAAGTTAAATAATGATAATAATAAAATTAATAAATAAAATTTGTGAATAATATAAATATTACTAGAAAAACAATAAAGTAGAATAAAAACATCCAGTCTGTGGTATTTTTGGTATTTATAGTATTATTTAGGTATTATTGTAATCGTCCAAAAATCGAAATTGAAATTTTTTACATTTCTTCACGTTTTGAAAATTTCTGAAAATTTTGGCATACCTCAGAAAAAATGGATGTGTGTGTATGTATGTATGTATGGATACAATTTTTTGTCCACGTTTTCGGGCGCACGGATCAACCGATTTGAATGGTTCAAAAAAACATTCGATTCCTATTGATAGGAAGATGTACTGATTAGTTTTTGGCAAAGGCAGGTCCAGCCGTTTCGGAGATTCGGTGCAAATAGTGCAGAAAATAGAAATCGAGTTCCAGCAATTTGCCTTAAGACACGATGCCAACACAACTAGTTGAGTTTATAATTCTATCAAATTACAAACAATGTTAAACTTTATATTCAATGAACTTATACATTTATACCAGTACTAGTCTAATAAATCATTTATTAGTTAATTAATAATAAAAAATGACCATGTTAATATTTAATTTTATTGATAAAATGTGTTAAAAATGTCAATATATTTTATTTATAGCTCAATTTGTACTCCAATTGCATGAATATTATGACACACATTCAGCGGTTTTGAATCATAAATTATTCATATATATATTTACGTCAGCTTTCCTGAGGTATTAATAACTGCAAAGAGGTAAAATGTCTAATAGATATGAGAAATTATGTTTATTATTTACAATTGAAAGTTCAAAATGTCTTTATTCAAAAATATTTTTGAATTATAGAAGAACAACAGTTTGATTACATGCTTGATTGGCATGAGTTGAGATTTTTCAAGGTTGTTGTAATCCAATTATTAGCTTATTACCATTATCAAAAGTGTTTGGCTTTTATAGAGACATATTATGTAATCGACATTACTTCTTGGTTAATTGATTATTCTTTTGTGTTTTTATATTTTAAGTTATTATCAGCTACAATAGGATTTAATAATACAGTTTGCCTAGAAAGAAAAAGGCAAGGAAAGTGCGGAGTAATAATAATAATAAATATTAATAGTCTGCCTGAAGGCATGTTCATGGTATCAGAGCACCACAAGTCAATGATTCTTTTTCCCACCCTTGTTTATTATTCATATTTTCTCTATATACCATTAATCACGTTTTTTACACTTTTGTGCATTTTTCTTTACAAACGTCTGCTCCATATTTCCTGATCCTGATCTTCGAATTTCAGTTTTCTATTTTTTTAACTTTCCGTAGGGTAAGTTAGTAATCGCAAAAAATCGAGAACGAAAATTTTTATATATCTTTACGTTTCAAAGGGTTTTTGAACATTTTCGCATACCTTAGAAAAAATGGATGTATGTGTGTGTCGGATACAAATTTTCGTCGACGATTTCGCGAAATCCGATCAACCGATTTGAATAATTCAAAAAGCATTCGATTCGTATTGATAAGGAGATGTGCTGATTACTTTTTGGCGAATGCAGGTCTAGCCGTTAAATATAATTATGTAATGAATGAAGTAATAATTATTAAATAATTAAGTAATATTAATTACTAATCTAATCGATTATAATAACTAAAAATATTAGACAATCATTTAATCTGGGTCAACTTGGTGCATATTTCCTGAAATAAATATGTTCTCCACTCAGTTTTATCAAGAATTCAAAATGATACGCAATTTATATCACCAAACGTATATCGCGGTTAATTGCTTATTTATCATACTGATTTTCTTTGTAAACAATGAGTAATCTAAAAAAAAACAATTGGGAATTATATTTTTTTATCTTTTTGCAAATAAATCGTGAAAAAATGCATTAATTTCAAAGAATTAGTCACGTTTTCCAATTCGAGCCGCTTATAAATTTATAGAAACATGTGAATATGATTTTTACTGATAGTAGATAAATATGTTTACTGCTTTTTTGATTAGGATTGTTTAGATATATTTCGATAATATTACCTTTAATGTTTAATATATTTTATCAATCGGTGGTAGCAATTAAATTTATTTAATGGTGCTTATCAATTAATTAAGCTAGAACCATTCAATCGATTTATGCATTCATCATTATTATTTTTTATCTATGTATACAATATTTGTTGAATATAAATATTTTTATATTCAATAGATATTAATTGACTGGCGAATACGTCGAATTGATAAATATAAACAATTATTTATTTATACGTTTCAACACTATTAATATGTATCATCATTCAGTAATACAAAACGTTTAAAAAATACAGTACCAGCAAAATAATTCATAAATACAATAAATATCATATTAGAGAAAAAAATAAAAATTAAAGAAAATATACAGTTATAAGGGAATTGTTTCTGCTAAACTGAAATATTTATTAATAGACAATAAATGCCATTAAGATGCAATGTATTAAAATCATTTACTGCCCAATACATAGCACATAAGTTTAATATTACATAATACATAAATAAAATATGCTTAGCTGCTATGTTTAATTTAAATATCTATTAATTTAAAAAATAGTACCATCTTCTAAACATTCGACATTTTGGTATCTCTTCACAATATCAAAATAATTTTTGATAACATCAGAAAACTACGGAAAGCTAGATTTTCATTATTATTTTAATTTTGTGATGATTTGATCAAATGATTAAATGATCAAATTTACCATTACAACGACTAGCCACAAAAGCTGCATTAATCACTGTTTAATGAAAAATATTGATTTTAAAAACATATGCCTTCCACACATATCTGCATCAACTTTGGTTTATTAGCCAATAATAAAAAATATATTTATAGCACAATCAATTCTCGATATTTGTTTAATGTTATTATCTCTAAAACAATGACATTGTTTTATCTGCAAATGGAAATATTCGTACTGATGTATTGTACAACGATGCGTACAATTTTATAGAATTATGAATATTGTTTTTAAGTAAAGAATAGTAAAAGATCAACTGGTTTTAATATTATTGCCAGCGAATTGTTTGCAAATGTCTGAATCGACTTTATTTACTACTGCAAATATATTTACTAAACATTTACCGGATTGCTATTGCACAAAACTTCCGGCGACTAATTGAAAAATCTAACAAGAATCTCATAAGAATATGTGATTAAACCTTTTTCTGGCGGAAAATTTAAATGGGAAAATATAATTTATCATAAAAATTGAATTATATTTTTACGCATCGTGATAGTAACTTTATATATATATATATATATATATATACATATATATATACATATATATAGTTATAGTTAAATATCAACAATACTCGAAATTTAAATATAATTTAAATAAAATATTAAAGAATGTATAGTGTATATATATAAGTAACTGTTTTGAAATTACACTGAAGATGAGACATACCATGGTCTCGAAACGTCTGTAATTACCAAATACAGTGTGTGTATTGTTTATATTTAACATTTATATATACCTATATATTATTATTATTATTATTATTATATAAAACATTGAAAACAAATGGATTAATCTTAATTAAATTAACTGAATAGTCGATTCAACCGAAACAAAAAAAAATTGTGAAACAACTTGTCTGTGGCATTTTGTTTCATTTCAAATCATGATTTCTATTTTTTTATTTAATTGCAGCATACTATAGCTTATAGTTTCAGCTAAAATAACACAAACTGATTATGCTATAAATCAATAATAACTAAAATCAAATTTCAATTATGATTGCCGCCTTCACTAGTAGGGCTTAAAGAAAAAAAAAAGACGTCTGGAGCACCATTTATAATATTCATTGTTAAGAGTAATATTAATTTAATCATAACAAATTGTGAGAAACGTAAGCAAAAAGCTAGCATTGTATGATAATATAAAATATTTTTACTGTCAGCTATGTGAATTTTTTTTAAATAAATTTGTAACAAAATAATTATGTTTTAGTATGACTTTTCACAGGTACACAGAAAATTTTTATGAGATATTAAAATTGTAATTACAAAATCACTGTTTATTACAATTGTAAATGGTCTCTGAACTTTGATTGCCAGCTTTTCGACTACATTATATATAAACATCTACCCAATTATCATAACACCAAACTTAAATATTATATAACAATAATATCTAAGCACTTGAAATTGATTGGGTTAATAAAATAAAGAAGCATTTTGTATATATATAGCTATTTTCAGTTTACGTTGGTATAGCAGACATAACATTAAAACATAATATTTAAAAAAATACAAATAAATGTTTAAAACAATCAGGTCTATTATTATTGTATTAAGTAGTATTTGCATCCAATTATTTTGAAAATTCTTTGAATTGCGAATAAGTTAGTATTAACTACATTTTTTTCTTAAAAAATTTGACTGATTAATTCTTTTACAAACGTTTTTGTAGAAATTACATCTTTACGTACGATGCAAGATTTTTACTCATCTGATTCTATTAAAAGATGTACAAAAAATGTTTACTACTTATGCATAATACAAATATAGTATTATATCAATAGTATTTCTATTTCCTATTGGTTTCAATTAAATTGAAAGTTAGCTTGTGATGTGTTGTTTTATTGTAATATGAATTTTAAATTGTATTTTTATACTAGTAAATAAATATGAATACTTTTATTTTGTAAATAGCTGCACTCAAAAATACTGCTTAAGTTTCTATAATAGCTTACATTTTTTTTCAAATAAAATTTTATAAGTTTTTACTTAAAGTCTAACAACAAAATTTAATAATATGAAAATTGTGCATCAAAAATTATAATAGCAGAAATATTAAGAAACAGCATAATGAATTTCCAAACCTAATTGAAACTTAAAAATTAACTTATTTATATACTAAATATATTAAACTGATATTGCACATATAAAATTGATATTTATAACGAAGTTAGAGAAAAATATTGAAAGAAACAGAAAATTACCTCATCCGATGCAGCTTCCTTTGATAGTATTTTTAAGAAATCAAAAATTATACCATATTTAAATTGAAACTGAAAATACATGTGTGAAAACATATTTCTAATCATAATTGTAATACAGTTTCAATAAATAAATCAACTACATTATTATACTACTAAAATTGATTCAGTAGAATAAATTCTGTAGAAGTATTTATTTATCAAATAAAACAATTATGGGTATTTGAAATATACTGGTATTTTGCAAATATTATAAATTTTGATGCTTATGCTGTGCCTTAATTTTTCTATTTATGCTATGTGCAAAGTCAATATATAAAAATAACTCTACATGCCATACTTTCATATCAATTAAATTTAGAAAATATTAAATATAAAGCTTGTATCTTTCATATATTATATTACTTTATATAGTACTATTTTGAAGACAAAAAATATATCAGACATGATATAAACTACAATCATTAAAAACTCTGTCGTAAATGCAATTTTCAAATTTAATTAGCAATTTAATTAAAATTTCTGTCTAGTTGCTACTATTCAAAATTCTCAGAAATTTTCAGCATAGAATAACCTACCACATAGAATACTTTAAGAAAAGCGCGTAGCTATTTAGTGTTTGCGTGAAATAGGTACCTTTTAGGGTTCCGTTTCCAATTAAAACGTTCTGTGGAATCCCTATTTGTATTTTTAATTAGCAGCATTTGTTTTGTGTTATTTTAGAATAATCGCGCCCGTCTCTTGATCTCGTTTCGTCTCCATTGAGGTAAACGATAGAATTCATTTCTTGTAAATTGAAGTATGGCTTCGAATTCGGCATCTGATAAATGGCGCTGGAAAAAAGGAAATACAAATGAATTCAATAAAACAAACTTCTACAATCATTACAGACAGTTACCTCTAAATTGCATCGATCAACGTCAGCTGGCAGCCTATAATTTGTGATCAGCAACAAATGGTATGGATAAATTTTGGCAGGTTCATTAACCAGCATGGAATGAGCCATATTTGGTAATGAACGGCGCACGTGCAGACCCTGGTTAGGGTTGTATCCGCCCAGACAACCAGCATAAGTAGAAGACACCGGTAATTCTGTCATCTGATGAAAAAAACAACGGTGTTTAACAATTGCCCATGAATAATCAAAGTTTAATTTTCAAATTAACTCACCATACGTCGATCCACATCTGTGATGGATCCAGCAGAAACTGTAAAGAGGTAATTAACATAGCATCAAATTTAATTTAAATTATATATGTAATATATAAAAATAGAAGAATACTTACTATCAGATTTACCACTACTAAATTCAGTACTGTGAGTTTTATCGCCCATACCGCTACACGAAAAATCCTATTTAATTAAATTTTCAGCATTATTAATGATATTAAAATTTCTATACTTTAATAGTAAAATTAATGATAAAAAATTAAATAGAAATATATATTACAAAAAATTTAATTAAAAATGCTGAGAGAATTTATTGGTGATGACAAATAATATTGTGGATGCAAAAAAATGTAATATGTTAAGACATGCAAGATAAATTATAGAGAAAGTTCTTAAATTTATATAATTTTTAATTACTAATTATGTAATAATAAAATGGAATTGTGATTTATTATTCAGTCATACAATTAAAATAAATTAAAGAAGCATGCATGTAATGTTACACACACAAAACAACATACAATTGGTTTACCGAAAAAGATTTGTTTGTTACAAAAATATTTGGCATAAAGTGCCAATTCTTTCCTCATGCAATGGCCAATTATATTTAGGATTAAAGGAATTAGGTGGTAAGGTCAAGTGTATAATACATATTTGGTAACAAAAATGTGATCTTTAATACGCTTTTAACTCACATTTTCTTGGATCTTTCAATATTCATTTACAGAATAATTTTGACAAAAAACAAAACAACTGGGTAAAAATTCAAAAATTCAATGCAAAATATTGATAAATTCTGCATTTATAAAAAACCATTTTAAAAAATATCTACATTTAAATATGTATACATAAAGCAAATACATATCATTCAAGTACTTTACATAACAAAGCTACAAAATAGTAATTCGTAATTATTTAAATTGCAACGAATAAAAGACTAAATTTTATTTCAATTGAATCACGAAAAGGAGATACCCATTTTAGGTAACGTTTCAAATTTGTTGTCTCAATCGACTAATATGAATAGATGATTCTGTTGATGAATCAATGATTAAATGAATGATTTTTCATGATTTGAAATTTACAAATGGTAAAAATTAAAATTTTGTTTTGTATTATTTCATATAATAATAAGCCTTAATTTCTGGTTGAAATTGCGCAAGAACTAGACAATTCCACCATTTTGACTCATATGACATGATCTCAATATTTAAAATATAATACATTTATGATTTATCTGAATATGTAAGATGATGAATATATATTAAATTGAGATACAACAATATTCAAACGAGCCTGATAACCATAAAAATGAGCATTTCTCCTCTTAATATGAATTTAGTTTAAAATAATTCGTATCCTTACTGGTATACCAGCAGTGCTGCCACTTCCCCCAGCAGAGCTGAACGTGTGAGAGCGTGGCGCCAAACCATAGCCTGGTTTAGGTACTTGACGTAAAGCGCTAACCACTATTGTGGTGTCGTGAATGAATTGTGTTAAAAGATATGATATTTGTTAGAAATTAAAGGGATTATGGTAAAAACTTAACTCTTCTGATATCATCATGTAACAGGACATAAATAAATACGTTATTTTCATAGTTATCAAATATATGCAGTAATAATTGTCAAGATATAATAATAAATATATTGACAATATATGAATATATTATATTCTAATATTGTCTAGATATATTCATAATCAAATATTCCCAGTTTGCAGTAAGCAGTGCTTCAGAAATAAAAAAATATCTGGTAATACTAAAGCATGAAAACATCTAATCAGACAACACTTTTATAAATCAAGATGGTGGATCATAATAAAAACCAAAACTAAATGACAGATACAAAAATGATGTCTTTTTTCGAAAAAGAATTTTACAATGATATCCTTGTTGAACCAGTGCCGGTGTCCGTTGAATTAACGACACAACAGGAATGCGCAAATCCTTTAGAAAGTGATATCGAATGCGATGGGAATTATGCAAAACAACATTGTGGAGAAAATACATGTAGAGCTTGCTTAGTACAGGGCAACAATTTCCAACAATTATTTTCACCTAGTGATGCACGTTCTGTTAACGTTGAAAATAATATTTTAACTATGTTTATCTCATGTACATCCCTTCAAGTAACTTCTAATGATCAGTACCCTAAACAAATTTGTGCAAATTGCATTGAAGAATTATCCAAAGCTTATGAATTTTGGAAAAAATGTAGGCGATCTGTTGAAACACTGAATAAAATAAGAAGTCCTAAAAAGAATGACGAATTTTTGAGAAAATATAATGTAAAAGTGAACAATATAAAAGTTGATCATAATACTGACAGAGATATTTTAAGTAAGCAAAAGTATATTGAACAATTAAAATTACAACTGAAAGAACTTGATGAACTAGAATTGAAAAGACAACATTTAGAGCAATCTAAAAATACGAAAGTTTCAGAATTAATTGATGATTCAAAAACAGTTGATAGGTTTTCAAATGATAAGGAACAAAGTTACTCAGATATTGGTAGTCCGTGTGCATTATCAGACAATGAAAGTACTTCTTCTAGTACTCCTATAGCTCAACTCGTAACAAAAATGAAACAGAAAGTGAAACAAAGTCCACCCGCAAAAGAGAACCGAGTAACTAAACTTAAAAAGAACAAAACACATAAATCTCAGCAAAATCAAGATCAAAAACCTAAACGTACACACACAGTAACAGTTAAAAAAGCTAGTAACTTGCGTATAAAATTTACTGAAGGTGGTACAAAATATAGGCTATCTGTAAAGCAATCAAAATCTCGAAGTAATTTCTTATGTCCAGAATGTGGACGAGTTGTAGTTGGCAGCACAGGGTTCCAAGCACACATGGCCAGTCATTCAGAAGTAAGACCTTATACATGTGATCAATGTGACAAAAAATATAAATCATACTCTGCTTTAAAAGTTCATATACGTAATCATACTGGAGAAAGAAAGTACCACTGCAAACAGTGTGATGCTAAATTTATCACATGGAATAGTTTAAGCAGCCATATAAAAACACACCATTCAGATGCAAGACCATTTGTATGTGACATTTGTTCAACAGCTTTTAAATATTCAGGATCCTTAATTGTTCATAAAAGACAGCACACAGGAGAAAAGCCCTATGCATGTACTGAATGTACTTGGGCATTTGCCAGCCCTGGTTCTTTGAGAGCACATATGACAAAACATACAGGTGAGAGAAAATACCCATGTCCTTTGTGTGAGAAAAGATTCAGAAAGCCTTATGCAGTAAAGGTGCATATGGTTACCCATACTGGAGAACGTAAACATAAGTGTGAATTATGTGGAAAAGCATTTACACAGGCACATGTTTTGCGAAGCCATATGAAAACGCACCAAGATCATCAAATACCAGTAGCACATCCTACATAGAAAAATTACAATGTTAGATGAGTGTGAGATTCTACCAACTTTCAACAATGGTTGCTATTTCGAAAAACCAATGTACATCAACAGCAAAAAAGATGCAGCATATAGCAATATTAGAATCTTTGTGTTGTGTTATTTGTTGACCTGATTGTGAATTATGAATCTACACAGTGTATATAAAAAATCTAGATCTGCGCTATATTTTGGAATGAATATAAAGTAGTTTTATTTTAAATTTTGAAAATAAACAGTTAAATTTTTCAATCTGATGTAAAAATTGAAAATTGTATTATAATCATATTTAATGATTAGAAGTATTATGAATGTTTATTAAAAATAAAAGTAAAACATTTTAAGAACAAATAAGCTTTATTATTTCGACTCAGAATGTTTTAATTTTTTGTTTGTAGTGAAGAACTTTAAAATTGCGTAATTTTCAAATGCTTGCTTAAATTCATAAAAATTATTAATGTTTAATTCAAATGTTGTATTGTGTATGAAGAAACATTTTTATATATTGTCTGAGATAAAAAAAACATGAATATTCATTCGAAATGAATTAATCAAAGTCAATTAATGAATAAAAAAATGAATGAAAGAATGGAATATGGCAATACATGAGAAATTTTAGAACGTTCTTGCAACACTAAGCACAAGATGGCAGATCAAAAAATCGTCTCAAAATGACAGCTGATGTCACAACAATGATCTTCACTGAAAATGTTTTTTACGATGATTTAGTTTTATCCGATGCTCCAGGTAGTAGTAACGACTTAAAATTTGAAAGTAAGAACATTTGCTCTACGAATTATTCGGAATATGGTAATGGCGTAAACACATGCCGTGCATGTTTGGCTCAGAACGATGATTTGCAACGATTAATTATTCAAGGTGATATATCAGAAGTTTATCCAGAAGATTATTCATTTATGTTTAAATCTTGTACATCCCTTGAAATATCTTGGAATGATCGGTACCCTAAGCATATCTGTAATAAGTGCCTTGCTGATCTGTTATCAGCTTATGAATTTTGGAAAAAATGTAGAGAATCTCTAGAAATCTGGAATTCTCAAATTAATTTATTAAATGAAAAAAATGACTTAGCCTTAAAGAAGTGTAATAGCAATTTAGATTTAGAAACAAATGATAACTCAGGTGTAGCCAGTGTCAAAAGAAGTAACAGGGATCGAAGATGTAAAAAACTGGTGGATAAAAACTCTGTTTCACATAAACAGATTATAAAAAAAGAATTAGAAGATAAAGTGTCCGGAGATACAGACAATTGTGAGTCAGTAACAAATGATTTGCGAGTTACATCAAATGATGGAACTAATTCAGAAGAGCCAATGGCAATGAAATCAGGATGTCGACGGTGTAAAAAATGCAATATGATATTTCCTAACAAAGCAGAATATGCAAAGCATGCAAAATATCACAACAAATACCTATGCCCAGTTTGTGGATATTTCTGTGGAAGCATAGGCGGCTTGCAAGCTCACTCTGCAAGTCATTCTGAATTACGGCCTTATCAATGCAATGTATGTAATAAACAATATAAATCACAATCTTCTTTACATGTTCATATGAGAAACCATACAGGAGAACGAAGATATACATGTGAACAATGTGGTATTAAATTTATCACTTGGAACAGTTTAAACAGTCATATTAAAACACATCATTCAACAGCACGCCCATATGTTTGCGAAATATGTTTAAAATCGTTTAAACAATCAAGTACTCTTAAAATACACAGGCGACAACATACTGGTGAGAAGCCTTATGCATGCACTGAATGTACAATGGCATTTAAATCTTCCAGTGATCTCAAAGGGCACATGGTTAAACACACAGGGGAAAGAAATTTTCCCTGCACTTTATGTGAAAAACGTTTTTCCAAGCCCTATAATTTGAAACAACACATGGTAACTCATACAGGTGAACGAAGACATAAATGTGAAATTTGTGAGCGAGCTTTTACTCAAGCACATGTCTTAAGAGGTCATATGAAAACACATAGAGAACTACAAATACAAATCACAAGCATTTCATAGAAATATGTTTGAATTTGTCTCTAAATATAATAAATAAAGTATTATATATAGCACTTATATGAATAACTAATGGTCACATCAAAATCATAATGTTTGAAAATGTAAAATAAAATTTAACCCTTGCTTATTTTGCACTTCCCAAGAAAAAAAACTTGTAATTGACACTTAAGTCCGCAAAGTGGGAACAATGTAATTCTATTTTAAACATTAAATATTTATTTAATAGTCATGCATGAAAAAAATGTTTATAGTTTATAACAAATTTTATAAAATATATATGAATAATAAAATCAAAAATAATTCATCTTAAGATTTTTCATTGAAAATAATTTATGTGTTAAAGTCTGAAATATGTAAATTAATTGCCACCACATGAAATTAACAAGATATTTGAAAGTATTATTAAACATTGTTAATTATATTAACAGATATTATCGTTAATAATAGAAGATTTCTAAGAGATTAATAAATAATTCTGAAAATTTATTCCTGCTTATCAATTAGTGCATATTAGCAATCATCCGAAATTATTATTAATGATCGTTCACCGTCATAGTTAACAGATTATTATGTTAAAGGAAACACATTTATGTGATTATTTTATGTCGAGAATATGTTATCAAGAGAGTTAAGTTTTTCAGGATATACAATGGGAATAATTTAGAGCATGAGCTACATAAAATTTAGTAAACCCAGTAAGCATCCAAATAGATTTAGGCGTAATGTATCCTTATATTTTTAGTGTAGACCATTTGTATATGTTAAAAGAAGATTTAGAGTGATTCCAAGATGATATTGATTAGTTTGTTTTTTTTTTAACTTACAGAATAATATCCATTTCTGCCAGTTGGTAGGGTTGATGACTTTAAGCCATAGCCTGGTTTGGGCGCTGAATGCAGGGAAGATATTACTATATTGACCAAAACATAAAAAACGAAAATAAAATTAAAAAATCATAAAATTATAAACTTAACAAAAGCTTAGATATTTAAACTAAAATTAAGTTGTCAGAAGAAAAAAAAAACAAAAAAAAAACAATATAAATAACTTAAAATAACAAAATTAAGTTCGATAAACATAACTTTGCATATGGTCCAATATAGCGAATATTTTCAATGCTTGGAATTATCATTAAAAATCTCTAAATTTTTAGTTAATGAATTTATCAAATTCAAAGAGTTATTTTTCAGTTGTTTTAACTCTTTGCAAATGAGGCAACAATAGAATGCAAAGGCTTAAAGTAATAATAAATATTCTAAATTATAAGTTTTTTCTAAAAAAAAATGGAGATTGTCATATCAAATACTATTTTGGTTAATTTTTGCAATATGTAAAAAATCATTTAGATAAATTTTTCTATCATTTTTTCAATCTTTCTAAAAATGTTATATGCTTATATCAAATATATATATATATATATATATATATATATATATATATATGCATGTAAATAAGTAAGCTGACTTACCATTATAATTCGGTATAGTGTGTATTGATCTGCCCATAGATCCTCGATAGCTAACTGATCTATCGAATACTTCATCATCATCAAAAGGTCTAGGATGATCCAAATTTCTTGAAGGGCTAGCTCCAATAGGACAATCATAACGTAATCTATATGCAGGTTCACGATTGGCAGATGGTGTTCTGTAAATAATAAATAAAATATTAAATTAAAACTATTTTTAGTACTTAATTATATGGTGCAATAAACCATAATTATTATTACTACTTCTGGTTATATTACCTGCTGGCATTTCTAGGATCCATATGGGCCAATTTGTATTGTCGTAATTTCTCACGTTCTTGAACATTTTTTAAGAACACTTTTCCAATACCAGTTGCTATTTTACTTAATTCTTCTTCCTCTTTCTTTAATTGTTCATCAGCTATTGGTACACTACTATTCAATTGTTTTATCTCTGAAAAATATAAATTCGATTAAATAAGAATATGCTCCAACAAAATTTTTTAAACTTAGTAGACAAGTCAGCAATACAAAAAGGGACTTTACCAGATTTTTTACTTGTTTCCTTAACAGAGGCATCAGTTTCATCTTGATCTTCATCATCAGAGACAGGAACACCTTTATATGTATCAGACCACCTTCTTCTGCGTTCTATAATATTTTTTAAATCAAAATCACAAACTTAATAATTTTGTATTTCAGCAGAAATCAAGTATTTACCAGGATCTGTGTAAGGATACGGAGGGGCTGGAAAATCATCTCGCTCTATTTTCGGTTTTTCTCCTGGAGGTGGTTTTTTGGCAGCTGGATAATGCGCTAATTCTATAGGTTCTTCATTGTTCATGCCAGGACTTTTTGGTCTAGGTGTTTCGGAACGCATGTTGTCTAGCATAACCTTATAATAATATATAGTTAAATTTTATCAGTTTTGGTGTATTAAATTTCGGAATTACCTTCATTCCTGATTTACTTGAATGCCTAGAGTATCCTCTACCTTGACTTCCTCTTAAAGAATGAGCCGCTGTAATATGCAATAATAGTTTATACAACAAATTTGAATAATTTTTCACTTTTTAATTGACTTTGAGCTAAATAGCGAATCTGTACGTTTTAAGAAGCCTGCTTACATGAGGGTCTATGAAAATGAGGCGACGTCGGTGGTTTATCGTAAGGTTCAATAGGTCGTTTAAGGTATCCATGAGAGGGTTCCTCGGTCAAATAGCTATAAGTGTAAATCCTAGATATATCGTCAGGATAAGCACCGGCTCTACTTCCACTATACTCTCGTAATATCAGACCAGGTGAAGTGGTCCTGGGATAACCGAAGTGCTATTGTTAAAGATAATTACAAAATTAGTACATATTTAAAAACAATAGAATTCGATTAAAATCATCAATATATATATTGCTAAATCCTTTGCGATTCCAATGTAACTGATTATAATCAGATGAATAGCATTATTATAAAATATACGACAATCATCACATTACAATGATGCTCATGCTAAGCTAATGCAGCAAAATCAATGAAATAAGTAATAAATATAAAATTAAAGCTGTATAGCCTACCTTACGATTAAGACTGCTGTAAGGACTGTATAATGATCCGTTAAGGCTAGAAGTACGTGATCGACAAGAATACTGAAAAATAAAATAAAAAACAAACCAACTCAAAATCAAAAAATAAAAATATAAAAAACATAAAAAAGCCATAAACTAATACCAACTAAAATAATATTAAAAACAAATAAACACTAACAGAAATCGTTGTTTTTAAATTAAATGAAAAATACTTACATATTTGATTATACTCAATAGAACATTGTTTCAGTAAATGCTCAAAGTTAACTTGCATTTTTAAAACAGTGAAGTTTTCTAATAATAATTTCTTTCTAATAAATAAAAACTAAGGCATTATAATAATAAAACATTTTATCCCTTAGTCCTAGGGAATATATTCATATTCATTGCTTAGTACCATGCTTAGTTGTTTGTTTCTCAATCTACATACATAATATGTAATGTAAATTTCAGATGTTATTGCTGATTGTCGCAACGCTAATAAATTAATGGATGTATGATAAAAATAAGTTTTCATATTGAAATGCAATTATTTATTACTTTGATGATTAAATATTGAAAATTACTATTTGTATTTTGTATTTGTACTTCTGCGCCCTCACCTAACTAACGAACATAAACAAGCAGGAACGTACGTACCAGAACGAACGCCAACGAACATAGTGAAGACGTTACAACGAACACGAACAAACATAAACGAACATAACGAGCAAAGAAAATTGTTCATGTTTAAACTCGTAGACAAAAAATTTTCTTTTTTGATGTTAATATGTGAAGTCCTGCATTAGTTTATCTTGTGCTTATATTATAAAAGATATTGCTGTTATTGACAAATTTTGTAAATTTGATCACTTTAAATAATTTTTCCCTTTTCCGCTACTGTAAAGAATAAACGTTTCACGGAACATTCTTGAACAAAGAATGTTCAAGCCCTCACTGCTTTGAAGCGTATGTTCAAGTTTATGTTTGGAATGATTCGCCTTCGTTCGTGTTCTTGTTTGTTAATCTTGTTGTATTATCTTGTTCGTCATGTTCGTTTATGCTCGTTCATTACGTGAGGACGCACCTTTATCAATAGCAATGATATCGAGTATCGCGTATAAGAATTTTTTCGTTTTAAGTTGGCACCCCGAGTATTATATCTACCGTGTGGAACGTACATTGTGTGCTCTAGAGACTTAAATTCTGACGTTATTTGTCATAAATATAAAAATAATTGCGAATAATTTAGAAAAGAATTATCTCTCTAATAAATTATAACCTATAATTTGTGCAAGTCTAAAATGTCCGCAAAATTAGAACAAGACGCTACCGTGGAAGGAGGCGAATTGGATAATATTACAGAGCAGACCAGAACATTATCGTTAGTTCGACAGGACACAATTGATAACAGCGAAAATGTAGAGAATAATAGCAACGAAAATGAAGAAAATAATGATAGAGAAAGTGAAGAAAGCGATTGCTCCTTAGAAAACACAGAAGAGGATATTTTGCCATATCATAGTCCTGAATTTGAGTATGATTCCACAAATATAGCATCAGCACTTATTTCAGAGGCTGATGAATTAGTGCAACGTGTTGCATCAATTCTCCAAAGTTTTGGAGACTTCTTTGAAGAGCTTGAGGAAGATGAATAATTGCACAATGATGCTTTTATGAATATGTTTACCTACTTGTTGATGCCTCTGCTCATATCTTTAAATGTTTATTGCTTTATAATTATAATGTAAAACTCTTAGTATTACTTCTAAATACTCTATTTCAAGCAAATTAATTATTGTAATCTTTATAACTTTCATTTAATAAAAAATATATTTGTATGTTTAAATATTGAGAATTATATTTTGTATATTGTACATTTACTGAATATATAATATACAAAACACAAACTTTTATTATTTTTATTAATATTTTCAGCTTGCCGAAGAGTAGAAGATTGAAAAAAAGCTTTCATACAAACATTTTGCTCTCCAAATTTGATTATCAAATTATTCATAATTTGTATTTGTTTTAACTATATTAGTTTTGAACTGAATTTAATGTTCGTATATATCTTTACACTCATGTTATATTAAGGTCAGATGATCTATAAGGATGAAAGTAAATGCCAAATTGTTTGATATATTAATTATGGAAAAAAACTCATAAGCTTAACAATGCGAATAAAATCATTCCCTGCATGCTAATAAAACATCTAAATGCACAAGGTTGCACTTGCAACAAGAAATACCTGCATTTCACTAACCGAACTGCTCATGCGATCAAATTCTGCTCTGCTTTCAGTGTCCGTACAGTGCCCATTGGACTGATGAGTTATGTTACCATCTGAAGTAGGACCATTTAAAACTGCTCCTCCCTCTGAAGGTCCAGGGCCACAGCGCGGGTGCCATATTGCACCACCCTGAAGTTAATTAAGTATTTCATAAGCAATTTTTGAACTTTATATAAAATCAACTGTGTATTAATTGATATACCTGCAAATACATTTCCTCTCCATCTCCAAATGGATCACCGCACTTTGTACATCTGGCACATGTTGGATGGAAATGATGGTTTTCCCCTGCCTGCGAATAGTTTTTAAATAAATATCTTAAATATATTAAAATTAAGATAAAATTATTCAATTTCAAAAACTTCAAAACGTGTACCTGTAATACTTTGCCAGAAATGAAACGATTGCAATATGCACATTTTACTCCGAATAACTTTTGATAGTCCTTCTCACAATAAGGTTGTCCATCACGGCCCATATATTCTCCATGTAGAACGGTTTGACAGGACTGGCACTTAAAGCACCACACGTGCCATTGCCTGTCTAAGGCAACCAGAGCTTGGCCTTCTCTCAATTCCTGGTTACAGCCGGCACAATCTAGAAAATAAAATAATGTAAAAATTAATAGGCATAAACGAATTTAAATTCAATAAATATTAATTATTAGCATGGTTGTAAATAAAAAATCATTAAAACATTAAGATGTTGTATAAGTACCATTGGGGTTTGGGCTGGATGGACTAGTGGGACTTTTCTGTGGACTGTTGACTTGTCTGACTGGAATTTGAACACATTTCTGGCAAAGGACTTCTTTTCCGGTGTATGTTACTTTTTCTCCGGACGGCACAGCTTGACTAAAATATTTTAAACAGTAATGAAATTAAATTATATGAATGATTGGTAAATTAAATTTGAGTTGCGTTGTTCGGTAGTTTGTCGAAATGGACAAGATATTTGGAATTTGGAATTAGTATTTAATTTCTCTTACCGACAACTAGCACATGTGAAACATTTTTGATGGTAAGTATTTCCTAGAGCTGATACAACTTCGCCTTCAACATATTGCTGGCACACTGCGCATTTTGTACCTGAAACAAATATTTCATATTATCAATTATTATTCTCTCGATCCGAATTAAATGATACAGAATATTTACTTACCAAATAATTTTTGATAGTCTCCTGTACAATAATATTTATCGTCTTTGTGAAAGAAGCCCCCTTGGGCGAGACTTTTATTGCACTGCACGCACTGGAAGCATTGAGTATGAAAGTATTTGTCGGAGACTCGTAAAACTTCACCTGAACATTTTTTGCGACAAGATTGACAGTATGTCTTCCCTGGAAAAAATGAATGAAAATATATTATAAATCTAAGAGGAACAATTTTATAAATAGGATGTTTGTTATTCTAATGCCATTGGATGTTAATCCAATGGAAAATGAATAAATGGAATTGTATAAACACTATAAATATGTATAAATAGCTTATAGATATCTATAATTTACCATTTAGTTTCATGATAAAAGTAATTCGATGATTGTATTTCAAGTACAAAGTAGTATCTTATAACATGTATTAGAAAAGAAATTGAAATAATTACATCAACAGTTATGAGTCAGACATGCTGAACTCTATTTAGAAAGGCCGCCGAGACAAAATACTTTGGAGATGCAATCAAGCATTGAATAAGATCATACAACTGTTATTTATAAATTTGAAAAAATATGATAAAATAAAAAAAACAGTACAATCTTATCCGTGTTATAATACGACACAGATATCGTTCGATGATTTATAATAGATAGATTCAAAATGTTACTACTATTCTAGTAATTACTATCATTCTTCTATTACATAAAAATTGTAACAAAATAATGCTAATGTTAAATCTAGATATGCAAGAATGACAACATCGTCGAAGTAATGGAGCTAAATTAAATTTAGCTAACACTTTCACAAATGAATATTTATTATAGCAAGTCTATAAGAAAATAAAATTCCTGTTAACAATGAAGAATAATTCATTATCACATTGTAAATAATTTCACGTCAGGCCTTTTCAAAACAAACTATAGCACAGCATGCTGACCTATTTATTTATTAGATAAGGCTGGGTAAACATAAAATGTATTTTATGATGAAAATTTAAATATTTATGTAATATAAATAATAAAAAATGCGATAATACATAGTAAGACAATGAGAACAAGTATAAAACCACCAAACTGGCAATAGTTGAGAGGACCATAACCGTAACCCAAAATAATGGCAATTACAAGCAAGATTCTAATAAGTTTCATGGTTGAAAAGATGCTGAAACCAAGTATGTTGATGTGATTTATAAGTATAAGGAGTTGCTGTAGGACCTTGTTAAAATGTTAAAAACTTTTGCAGATTAATTTTGTACAACTTTCCAGAACATGCTACTTATTTTTAATAAATAGTTTAAAAAATATTATACATTATTGAATCAAAAATGAATTGCGCTTAATACATGGTCGGTTCCAAATTTTAATAAACGGTATAAACATATACATTTATTCTATTTGATTTCAGCACTTGAAGATTATTATGTGTATTATAATCTTGATTGAATATTGTAGAATTTTCTTAATAAAAATATATTTTTTATCCAAAGAATGTAATTAACTTCCTGTATCTCAAACAAATCGAAAATGAAATTTTTTGCATGTCTTCACGTTTCTGAACATTTTGGCATGGATGTACGTGTGTGTGTGTTTGTGTATGTATGTTTGGATACAATTTTTCGTCCACGATTTCGGACGCACGAATCAACCGAGTTGAAAGGTTAAAAAATATTCGATTGCTGATTAGTTTTTGGAGAAGACAGGTCCAGCCGTTTCGAAGGTACGGGACAAAAAGTGCCAAAAAAGGTAATTCTGTTTTTGAGAGAACGGAGTACCTGATTTGAATGATTCAAAAAACATTTTACTGGTATTGATAAAATGAAGGATTGATGATTTTTGGTAAGGTAGGTCTAAAGGTTTCGGAGATACAGAGAAAAAAGTAAAAAAAAAATGATATTTGGCGGTCCAAAATGATCATAGACATATACATATCAAATTATCAGATATTTGATACAATCTTTAAAAATGAGTACTAATTTTGTTGAGTTTCTTACTAAGATTGTTAATTTTTAAAAAAAAGTACAAGCAAATTTCAAAATTTTCATTTTTTTTTTCAAAATTTTCAAAGATGTACAAAGTTTTATACTTCAAATATGAATTTTAAATTTACAGTTCAGTTTGAAAATATATATATTTCAAATGCGTTATTCTAATTGTAAGAAGTATATCCTCAGATGTATTTATTCGGGTCCTTTTGCTAATGTAAACTTTCTCAAGTGTTTTGATCGATAAGATCATCACTGTATATTTTATGAACGATAAAATATATAGTGATTATAATTATATATTTGGACATGTTTAAAACAATCGTTATTAATCATTGATCAATATTTATTGATTACTGATTTTTTCCTCAAATATTCAATGCAGGTACGGGAAATTCCAGCAATTTGCCTTAAGGCATGATGCCATACACCACTAATTTCAAGTTTCTATTAAGGGTTTATTAGAAAAGTCTAAGATTGTATCCCCAGCCTAAATGACCGCCTGTTCAATTATATGAGCTATACGGCAGTTGAGTTTTATTGGCTAAGTATGCAAATAGGAAATCAAATTGAGTTGGCCTCAAGAATAAAGGTCAGTATATAGTTTCTCTCTAAATATAAATCGACATTCCTATACGATAGGTAATGATAAATATATTTTATTAATAGTAATTCAGGATAATATATCAGTAGGAATTCGACATTGGCGGGCCATTGATGGCTTCTGTGTTATAAATCAAATTTAAACGATATGTAATATTTTATAATCGATCATAAAACTTGCGATATTTTTACAATGTGCGGTCGATGGATTCAGTATTGGTTTCAGGAAGAAATAATAAAAGTATTGGTAAAATTTGGATCAAGATTTTAGTAAAAAATTGGATCATTACAAAGAGAACATCAGGTTTACTCCTCTGGGATTTTAATGAAAAGGAGTAGATACAATGGCGTTGGTGGTCAAAACAAATTTCTCAAAATTTTTCACGCCATTAACAAATAGTTTCATTATTAAATTAAAAAAAAAACATACACTTTTAGTGTTTTGTTTCAATTGATCCTATTACCACTATAAATTTTAGATGAGGTTTTTCTTGTTAGTCCTCGTCAGAGTACTTTTTCTACCATTTCTACCTCGATCTGGTTTTCCAAAGAGTACTTTTACTACCATTTCTACCTCCATCTGGTTTTCCAAAGAGTACTTTTTCTACCATTTCTATCTCGAACTGGTTTTCCAAAGAGTACTTTTAGTACCATTTCTATCTCGATCTGGTTTTCCAAAGAGTACTTTTACTACCATTTCTACCTCGATCTGGTTTTCCAAAGAGAACTTTTACTACCATTTCTACTTTTATCTGGTTTTCCAAAGAGTACTTTTACTACCATTTCTACCTCAAACTGGTTTTCCAAAGAGTACTTTTACTATCATTTCTACCTCGATCTAGTTTTCTAAAGAGAACTTTTACTACCATTTCTACCTCGATCTGGTTTTCCAAATTCGATGAATCAATTGTGTTTATTGACACAAAACTTGTCAATCTTTTTCACAATAGAAATAATCCAATAAAAAACGTAGTCAATAAATCACCTGGAATGACTCTAGTAGGTGCCCCATAAACTCTATTTACACCAAATTAATTTGACAATCGGTAGTATTGTGTTGTGAGTACATACTACTTAATATGCACAATGATCATATATAAGAACTGTGTGTATACTAAATGATGACCAAAAATAAATAGAATAACAATTGGTCTTTGAAATTGAGCTCGTGCAAGGCGCAATGTAATAAAAGTTATTTAAATCTTATTGTGAATACATTTGAATAGCTAAAGATATAATTTTTACACGAAAATACAATAACGAAGGAAACATAAGTAATTTTTTTAGAAAAATGAGATTTTGCTTTTACCTTATAAGTTTCCAATATGAATTTAATTGGACAAGATTGGACAAAATTTATATTCAGAGAGATGTGGATTGAAATTATCCGAACTAACAAAAAGTACATAAATATATATGTTTATATTCCATGAATGAAGAACAAATATTGATATAATACTCAAATCAAGTAGCATCTGTAAATCTTCAAATATTTGCACAAAGGCAAGAAACTTTAATGAATACAAGGCGCCGGCGGGAGTGGTAATCAATTTATATGAATTTATAGATTTGTTAATAGCATTCTATAAATGAATAAAGATAAAAATAACAATATAAACATCACATCATAAAATTGAAAATGCAATATAAATTGAATTTTATTAATCAATATTAATTCTACAAAATTCTACCGAAATTGTTATCTTTGCTGTTATTTTTATGTATCATAAGGAAATGTTCTCAATTATAATCAGTTGCAGTTTTGTTCATATTTTTCTTAAAAAAGCACTATATTTTTTGCGCCGAAGAGAAAGTTTTATAAAAACGCAAAAGGACAATTTTTTTTGTTTAGCATAATGATGCAATCACTATATTTAAAAACTATTTCTCCAGATATGACCAATATATTTTATAATGTCTAATATTTTAACATAATTGCATAAGTAATTTCAAAACAACTTTCATCAGCAATAAATCAATATAGAAATATCGATCGATAAGAAATTCGCTTGTCTTGGAGTTAATTTTGAGATAACATTTTATATGTCGCTACTGTTATAAAACTGAACTTTAAATACTAAAAATAAAAAAAAATATATATAAACTATTGGGGTGCATGGCATCGTGCCTTAGGGCAAATAGCTGGAATTCCTGTACGGATCCCAAAAAAAATTTACACAAAAAGTGTACTCATTAATAAAATCTCTATAAAATATCTGATAATTTGATGTACATATGTCCAATAAACATTTTTGACCGCCAAATGACATTTTTTTTAACTTATTTTTATTGAAATTCCATAACCGCTGGACCTGCCTCCCCAAAAATTTAATCAGTTCTTTAACTTGTCAATACAAGTAAAATGTTTTTCGAATTGTTAAAATCAGATGCTCTATTCTCTTAGAAACTGAGTTACCGTTTTTGGAACTTTTTGCCCCGTATATTCGGAACGGCTAGACCTGCCTTTGGCAAAAACTAATCAGCACGTCTCCTTATCAATACGAATCGAATGTTTTTTAAATTATTCAAATCGATTGATCGGTGTTCCCGAAATCGTCGACGAAAATTTGTATCCGCACACATACACAGACACACATACAT